ATATTAAATAATCTAAGGGCAAGTTAATATTGCGGCATATCGTTTTTCATACATCAAATTTCATTTCATATACATTGAAAAAAGATTGAAGCTAGCCAGTTTCAATATTTTTCGCATAAATATACATCAGCACTTGTCAAATATTTTGGTTGAAATTTATACGTTAATAATTAAAAATGGAAAATTACTAATAACATACAACAGCTTAAGAGCTTTGTGTTGGTTGTGTCCTTTCCACATTCTAGCAACAAAAGTTTAATTCTACAATAGTCGTATTTATACAACGATATAACTCGGATTCACTTAAATTGTCTTACCTTGAGTTAATCCGATCGGCATCGTACGGATATCACGTCACAGTCCATTCCGATGCAATTCCCGGGACGCGGCACGGGCTCTCGGAAGAACTTGTTTGCGCGGTAAAAAATAAACAAATCGATATAATATATCTGACGAGCAAACGAGCGTCTGTGGACAGGAAGCTAGCATAATACCGAAGCCTCCGGTGGGCCAGGGTGGTGGAAACCACGCCTGGGGGCGGAGCGAGACTTCGCCTGCGCGGATTATCACCCTTCATGCGTTTATACCAAGTAATTGTCATACAACAAAGGATGGCACTATGACAAGATATTATGTGCATATCGGGATCCGGTGTGTTGCTGGGACGTAGATAAGGTACACGCGGCTTTAAGAAGTTTAGGTAACATCTTATTTTGTAGATGGAAATTGGGTGGTGGGAATATCGATATTCCCTGGATCACGAACCACTGTCCAACACACACAGATGAAACAGCCGTGAAGTTTAATCGCGTTTCGGTCTGTGGATTTCCGGATATCAAAAGCCAAAAATAGGCAGACAGCGCATATTATGTAGATGTTATATAGCTGGGGTATTACACTTCCCATCAAATGAATTCTGTGCTTGTCTTTTCTCCTCTATTATTAAAAAAAAATAGGCATAAAGCACTTGAAAAATCTATCATAACGATATATTATATTTACGGCATATATATCCTCTCTGTCGCCAACAGTAGACGTCTCGATTTAATTAAGTCCCGCATTTTTAATAAAAATAAATTAAACGTTTAATTTTTTATTTATTTGTCTTTTGAACATTATGTTTAGTGCCACCCAAAAGCTGTTTATTTGAACTAGGTACCTACTATTTTTTTCCTTATTGCTAACATTCATTATACGGAAAATTTTTACAAAAGAAATATCTCCATCAAAACGTACTAGAAAATATGTGTTAATAATTAATAAAACAGAGAGAGAGAATATAGAGTACCCACTATAACTTAGCCATATAAGTTGGGTAACGGCAGTTGACTGGCAGTTTGAATTAACTGATGTTGACTACAAAATAAGCGTAAGCATAATATATCGCGTTTTAAACCGTTAAAGTGTTTTATTTAAATGTGTACTCCTCGCGTAAACTATAGACAGAATATAAGCGTAAGCAACCAATTTGCTTCCATGACATTTTTTTTTTTAAACACGTTTTGTTTTAACAACATACACTTTACAAGCTTAAATGTTTTTCTGAGTTTGCCATTAGGAATGCTCTCCATCTTCAGTTCTCCCTGACCAAGGCTGCTGCAAAACGTTTAAAACACAGTTAAAATAAGTAAAGACAAAATAATTAAAATATTTCGCATAAAAACCGTAATGTGTTTTTAGCGTGGCTATACTAATCGCAAGTGTTAAGGTTGAAATTACATTGCGCGAGAGGCGCAATAAGTTGAAAAAATTCGACGATGAGGTGTAGGACTCGGTAGCTCAATTGGTAGAGCAACAGCACGGAAAGCTGACGATGCCGGTTCAAGTCCAGCCCGAGTCGAAATTTCTTTCAATTTAATTCGATTTTTAAAATAACATAAATGATATTTCTTGGTTTGACTAAAATAACCACAAGTAAGTTCTTTAAATTTTAAATCACGAAGAAACATTTACTACAATCGACATGTAGGAGCTGTGAAAAATTCACAGAAATATCCTTCAAGGCCCACACGGTGAAACGGGATTGGTAGGTAGGTACATAGCCTTATGATGCAGCTCTACGGTTAACTACCCTCATAATTTAAATGAAACACTTTTAACGATATTAACGAGAATTATATTAGTTAACCTTATTTTTAGTTTATTGTAGCAATAGCCCGAGGTTTCTGATTCCTTGCAGTAGTCAGTCAAGACAGGATTTATCGTTTTAAACAGTTAAGTGTTTTTTATCTGTACTCTAGCGTAAAGTCTACAGATATTCACCCTTATACATTTTAAAATAATTTATACCATTTGTATTGGAATTGTTTCATATTAGGAACATCCATATCAATATCCAACAAAATATCAATTTACACTGGCCTCCATAGCATTTTAAATTTAATCTTGTTCTTAGAATGTGCTATTACAAAAGATAATGTAACATTGATAACATTTTCCAATATTTTCATAGTAATATAGCTCCTACATTAATCAAATGTTAACATAAGCAAGCTAGTCGAGTACATTACATAACACTTTAAACGGTTGAAAACACTTAGTTTCGGTTGCTCTGGTCATGAAGGATTGAGATTGAGACGTAGACGAGAAAAGGTCAGTAGTTTTATTAAATACTAGCTGTGTCAGCGACTTCGGCCGCGAGAATCGTTTTTTTGGGCATCCAAATTCGTTTTGCAAACCCCTTCATCTTTATAAACTTAAGCTATTACCCACGACGTCGTTCGTCCGTCTCGTCCTTCTTGCAAGTTAATCTTAAAATATAGACATATCATATCATATAGATAATTTAAAGAGAAATTCTTACATACATATTTTTTGGATATCTTGAACCGTTTTTGCAGCGTACGTCTCGGAAACCCATAATGCTGAGTAATTTGCCCAATTTTGTTCACATTTCTCGCTGCATCTTCGCTTGTATTAGTCACAGGACGATATTTTGTAGCCTATAGCCTTCCTCGATAAATGCCAAAACCAACACAAATAATTAGAACCCGTAATTTTTGAGATATACGCGTTCAAGCAAACAAACTCTTCAGCTTTATATATTAGTATAGATGTACCACTCACGGTAAGTACAGACTATACACCCATGTCCAAATATTGTAGGAAAGAAATTGTAAAACCAGCCATGTTGTTTAGCTATATAAAATATGATATTATCAAAATCTTGAAAGCTCATTGGGATGTCTAAGTATGTAATATGATAATATATGAGTGATAAAGACAATAGATAAAACCAGGCCTAAGGAATAATAATACAAGTCCACGTAGAATAGTTATTTTCGGCATCAAATTTTGTTTTTTCAAACTTTCTCATTTTTTAGGTCATAGAGGAATCATTATTTTGTACTTATTTTGCTTTCTTGAACCTATTCGACGCACACGTTACGAAAGCCCTCAAAGATGTATAATTTTCCCCATTTTATCCACATCTTCCACTGTTTCTTCGGTGCCACTGGTCGCAGCGTGATGTTTTACCATTTCGAACCAGTAGTTCCTGAGAGAGCGCGTTCAAATAAACAAACAAATAAGCTATATAGTATAGATTTGATGGGTTGTTACCCTGATCGGCACAAAATAAATCTAAAAGGAGTAATTTATATTATGTTCTGTTTTCGTCAATCATAGGTTAAATTGATTGATCTTCAAGATACAGTTCCTTCGTCTTTTACTCTTGAAGTCTATATGTTTAAGTTTGTTTAAGTGTTTAAAGGGTATTGCAAAGTATGGCGGGCCCTTCTTGCCATAATATTAACAACTACGAATCAGTAGATAAAAACAAGTCGTGATTTAATTAACTGAATAGTTGTATCACTTTGTCGGAGGTTCATTTCACGTTCGTGAAATTATTATTCATCACATTTTATACAAATATTTAAAAATTATTACAACACAACTCGATACTTACCTACAAGAAAAAAATACCTTCAATTCCCTAAATTATTATAAACTCCGTTATACTTAAAGCTCCGCAATTGACCAATCCTTACGTACTTAGATTTCGTCTATACTAATAGCGTAGAATAATAAGCGTGAATTTAAAATAGATAATTTCTTAACTCACTGCAAAGGACTATGAATAAATATATTTGTTAATAACGTAATTAGATTAGATAATATTCATAAAAAAAGTTAAGTAACAACTCCATGCCAGTCAAATGGTATAACTAATAATCAAATCCTGGGCGGGACGTCCACCGAAGCCACAAAATAGATATATATTTCGTATAAAACTCATGTTCCATTTCCTCGAATAATTGAAAATGAATATTTCGCTACACTATCATAATATAACAAAATACATCTCGTTTAACGAAACAATAATATTATCTATAAAAAAAATATACATATTCTGTGCCTGGAGTATTTACTTTACATAAAAATGTAAAGGATTTTATTTAAAAGTTTACTCTTTTCAACCAGCAAGAATACTACAATAATCTCTGTCGATTTAAATTTATTTTAAATATACAATAAATAGAAGAAAATATAATATTATGTAACATCGATAAAAAATCCAAACCAAAGCAAACAAATAAAATAAAATATTGTCACATATATTAGGCAGATTAGTCAATGTCAAGTCATCAACATATAATCATATGATGTCAATTGTCATAATATACCACAGCCACAGTTCATAAGTGGTTCCTAATTCCTATCGAATTCCTGTCATTATCAGTCAGATTCATAAGTGATTAATTATTAATTTAGTGTATGAAATCAATTCTTATAACGTTATAATATTGGTCCTGAACCAACAGTAGGAAAGTATCTAATTATTAAATAATTAGGAAAAGTTTCAACACTATATATCGCGGCCCGAACAAACATCTAATCATTACTCAATTTCAGTCTCGTTATCACGAATAAACGAGGAAATTCTAGACTAGTATCCAAATTTCAGACTAGTAGATATAGATACTAATTTCAGTTGGATATAATTATACCTTAATTTCAACGCAGAGCTAGCTATAATCCACAAAACACCAGGAGCTGCAATGGATAAGAGATCCCTTACCGATTTGTTTAATTCATATCAAAAATGGGTCATTAGTAACCCCAATCTTGTGACTGACGTGGAGACGGTAGCTACATGGTCTTCTTATTTCATTGCAGGCAAGATTAATAAGTCACCAATTGTATCAGAATTAGTTTATGCTCTTTCAAAACTATTATCCTTATTTAACGATAAGATTATAAAAGATGCGTATGGCAATGAAGCTCCTCGCTACAGTTTACAAGAGCAAATCAAACTATGGCTAACAATAACTCATTATTGTGAAGTGTTTGTTGAGCTTACAGTTAAGTCCAAGTGGGGAAATAGAGGTAAATGGACTGCAGCAACTGTACTACAGCTTTTTAAGTTCTCATCAGCATTGGTGTTGTTATATAAATTCAAAGATATTCCAATACAACATCCGCCAATACCAAATTTACAAAGAAAGAAGATTACCGAAGAAACTGATCCGGTTGAAACTTCCGAAGCATTTTTCACTTTACGCAGATCAGGTAGAGTCATACGCCGTGTAGAAGGTGCTCCACCTGTAAAACTACGTGATTGGCAGCCAATTAAAATAAAGGATGATAGCATCTATCTTACCTCCGAAATTAAGGAACTTAAAAATGCTGAACTGTTGCATATTGCTAAGCCAATAATTCATTTAGCTGCAATGCAGGTATTTGGGACAAAATCATGGAAGCAATGGTTAGTTGCTCTTGGCTTAGATATTGCAAGTCTAAGGTTATACAATAAGCACATGGATGATATAAGTTATGACCAGAGATTAGAAATAAGTAGACGAAAGCTTAGTCTAGTTTTGTACTTATTGAGGAGTCCCATGTATAATGGTTTTTCCAAAAATGCTATTGAAACTTTCCTTGAATCGGTTGCAAATAAAATGCCAGTTATGTCATTTGTATGCGGACCTATCCTGCAGTACTTGAATCATTGGCAAGATATATATTTTTATATGTGGGCAATGTAAGTTAGAAAATCATTGTGATACTATTATGTATTATTATTTAAAATTTAATAAATTGTGTAAGGCTTTCACGCCATTTTTCAACTTATCATTGTTTTTCGGGTTGTTTAACCTATCAGACGGCATCATCAGGATATGTTATTAGATCCTCGATTGCTCAAAGAATGAGAACCTCTTCTCGTTCACATTGTCTGAATATCCCGAAAAACAATGATATGCTGTATTTAAAGTCTGGTTTTAATTACATGAAATATTTCTTTTTACAATCACATAGATTATGATAGTAACAATGGTATACAATTAAATTTATTTGGGATTTTTTGAGGAATTTGATCTATTCATTATGAAAATCTTTTTAAAGGGCAATTAGAGTCAATCAGGCATGAAGTGATGAGACATACAATAATCATAACATGTTTAAAATTGATGATCTATAGGTAATTTATGATATTGTGTTTACTTGTTAATCTGGATATTTTTTGATTATCATTGGTGTATTTTATATCAAATCAATTGTATCACTCATATGAAATGGACTATTGTTTAAGTTGAGACTTAAGACTAATGGTCATTTTTACACTGACTATATACAAATAATTGTGTTGTTTATCTGGATGTAATATTATGGACTAAGGGAAATAAAATTATTTAATAATATCTTTGTATTTATTTAAACCAATATCAATTTAGAAGAATATTGATATAACCATACATTTATATAAAATTTGCATACTTAGTTGCCTTTTACATATATACTTTATTTAACAATATAATTATTGAATCACCAAAGGAGAACTTATATCGAAGGATACAATTAAAAATTAATCATTAACTAAGTAATTGGACTAAAAACTGTTAAAATGAAACAATAATTACAATTTCCATCTAATACTCAATAGTCATCACAGCTGTATATGAAAATAGAGTAAGAGCTACTTTTAACTAACTTTATTGTGATGTATAATTTAAATAGTTATGACATCACAGTATTTACATATTATCAAGGAATCACAAATACACATAGATTTTTTTTCTAAAATACCTAGCTACATTTTTCTCACATTGATATTTTTTTAAATGTGCTGTAGCCATAGAGGAAATTGGACAAGCGTGAATAGGAAACTCATTTTATTACATTAATAGTATGCCTTTATAACACTATTGTAGTACACTTTAGTATTTAAACTTAAAAAAAAAACATTTACTAAAAGAAGGTAGACAAAAACCATTGCATACATTTTTAACATATTCAAATTTAATTTGTTTTAATCATATGTAGAAGAAGCACCTTAGATTTATAATATAAACTTATATAAAAATGTAAAATATTAGTTTAAAAAATAAATATAAACTTATTGTAGTTTGTAGTACATTAGAATCCACTATATTAAAATGCATAAGTTTAACTATTGGAATACATGATATATTTAATTAATTTATATTAATAACTACCTACCTACGACAGCATTAAAACGAAGTAATTCTCTTGTGGCTTTTCTACTAATTGAAGTTACTTATTATGCTTTTAGTCTACTCGCATTTTTAATAAAGAAGTTGATTTATCATTTAATATCTTTTACAATACACTGCAATTACAACTGTTACATAGAGAAATAGAATTACTGTCAATTGTCATAAAAATTTGACAATGACAACCCTACATTTTTTTATAACAATTGTGCAGAACCAACCGATAATAATTTTACTAGGGTTTACAACACAAATGATATAAATAAACTGCACTTGTACTAAGCATCAGGCGAGAGTACCTATGTCGATGTATTATTTCTAATTGCACGTAACGCTTTCAAATACATTTATTAGCTTTAGAAAGCACTATCATATGTTTAAAATATTTTAACTGTACGTTAATTTGCGTTAGAACGAGACGGAAAACATTTGATGCCTATTTAATTGATCTAGAGAGTTTTTCGAGTTCGGGACAGAGTATCTTAATTGTTGAGCCAGTCCCAGGAGTCCTCGTCCGATTTCTTCTTAATTGTGATATTCTTTACGTCCGGCGGTGGGCTCGAAATGCCAACTTGAGATAAATCACGTGTATCCAAATTATTACGTGTCGCAACAGATTCTTTCCACGGTTGCGTTTGCTCGTTCCTGAAAAGATTAATAAATTTATTGAATTATATCAACTTCTAACTTTAAACACGTCAGTAGGTCAACCGTTAAACGTGTTCGCTTGCCTAAGTATGGGAGATTCTGCCTTCGTATCTGGAGACGCATTTAATTGTTAGTTGGACAGGGCACAAAAGTCTGATCAACTACTTGCATATAAATCGAAATATAAAACGAATATGTTTTAAGATAATGGTCCCATCACAAGTATGATGGCAATGGGATTCACCAGCTGCAAATCCTAGAAAAAAGCAACAAAAAGTTTTGGCCCAGCAATGCACAGAAAACGATCAATAAGTGCACAACATTATTATGTTCTCAAAATATATAAGCACACTTAAGGAGAAAATGGAGACCTCTTGACATTGAAGACAAGACTCATTTTGGTCCAAGAAGTCATCGGAGGGGGTAAGTTAGATTCTCTCACCATTTAGAGTAAGGCTCCGAAGTGGAGTTCTTCATGGCGCCATAGCTTTGCGGTTGGTTTTGCATGCTGGAGTTACTGGCACGACGAAGTTCTGACGTGCCACCAAGCGAGCTCCAACCACCTCTATTGTTGACCTTTACATTGAATGCTCATTAAATAAAATTCTTTATCCACATTTACATTAGTCATAAAAAGTAAAGAAAGTGTTTTTATAAGCGTTTCCAAATAAAAAATATTCTTTTTATTTGGAATTATTAAAATATATTTAGAAATCATGTAACAAATAAGAAATTCGACTGATAATAATTATATAGTAGTCAAAATTGAAAACTGTCATGTAGTCACAACTTAGATGAGCAAATACAAATATTAAGTCTTAAAATAGGACTATCTGGGTTCTAACTTTTGGGTACTTTAATAAATTAATAATACTTTGAAAAAACATTGAGTAAAACCATATTTTTTAATTATGTCTGATTTCATAGATATACCGGTTGTTAAATATGGCCTTATAAGCCCTGGAGATAATAGTTATCTCATTTATTACTGTATGCCCATTTTGATAACTGAATTTGCTTATTCAAACGCCATAATGATTGTGATAAAAATTCACAGCATACAGTAAACGAAATACCTATTTTTACCATTTGAGAAAACCAAGATTTGTGAATCACGGTTTTATTACAAGATACGGTTTCATTTAAATAAGAAAAGACCGTATTTGCCTTATTGATCACGATTGAAGATTCATATACAGAGAATAAATATTATCTAATGCACTAACATATTCAACCAATAATATAGTTCTGTGGTTTAATAAATTTAAGCCCCTACATTTTGTATGTTTTTCTATAGGATTTTGTACCCAAAGAATTACAAACATATATAATTCTCATTCAATTATATGTATTAAAATTACTTTTCAAAGGTTAAATACAGACACCCATAGAAGCTTCTAGAGGTAGGCCTCATGTCAGGAAGCGAAAGAAATATTTTTTTATTAACCTAATACAACAATAAAGGTTACTGTATTTTTACATATGCGAATCCAGCTCGCACTTGGCCGTTTTTACCTTTTCAGTAACAGTAGACGCCATCTCCGTTACTTTCTGTGAGGCCATACCGCCATAACGAACCGCACTCTCCGTTGCTGAACGAGCTGCCTTACTCACAGATGATGTAAACAGCGACCAGCCCTTTAACACATACAAGAATATTACCAAGACTACCTATCACAAGTATCCAACATGGAGGAGACATTTTATATTTCAAATAATGTAGTGTTATCCGTACGATAAGTATGAAATTTAGAAAAAATGTAAACAATTTAGAATGAAACAAAACTTTGACCGGCTCCGTATCTATAAATGGTTCAATGTATTGGACAGCGGCACGTTAAGTGCAACAGATCCTGGGTTCGAATCCCGGGGAAACAATCGATTGTTTCGGTCTGGCAGAACACCGAAGTCTGATAAATTACTTGAATGTAAAACCAAACAAAGAAGCGGAAACAATAATTTGATGGCCCCATGCTCCATGAGAGGAGCGGAATTATGAAAAATTTTATTTTAAAGGATTTAAAAAGGTACTCAAGTATGGAATATAAGTAACACTTACCGATGCCAATGAAGAGAGGGCTGCATCCACAACTTCGTTGGGATTGGCGGGTGATGATGGTGTAGAATGGGAACGGTTGGAATTTCCAAAGCCTGTGTAACGACTGCTACCATACTCGCTGCTAAATAGCATTGGGATAGCATTATTAAAAAAAGAAAAAGATCAAAAGTAATTCATCATCCTTACAAACTTGATCTTCAGTTGTTATAAATGTACAAACTTATTTTTAATACAGAGCATAGAACAAACAAGCAACTGTAAAACTAATGTATATTCTATTGATCGCCAAGCTTTTTTACACAGTTGTTAGACAAACATTTTCGCAAAAAGCGACACCATACCTCAGTGTACAAAAAGAAAAATGCAGTAATAACATTATTTACAGTAGCTGTCGTATCGGCATTATAATGCATGACCAGATAATTCTTTCATTGTAGCCCTCACATATATAAAAACCTAAATAATAGCTACCACACTTATATATACTTACTGATAACTAATATTGTTGTCTGAACCACTGTTATGAAATGCAGTATCATCTGATGAGTAGAAGTTCTGAGATTGATTCCATTGAGTTGGGCGTTCAATGACTTCAGATTTGAAGTCTGAGGGACTCCAATCCTGACCTTCCGCAAGAGCAGCTATCTACAAAGGAAATTTCAATATTTTTAGACAAATGTTGCTTTTTTGTATAGTTGTACAGGTGTTTCAGAAATCAACACAGCTCACCTTCTGTTTATACATTGCTGCAGCTTTTGTATTGTACTTCTGCACAATTTTCAAATCTGATGAATAATCAGGTTGGCTTTCAAAAAAATCTTTCGCCTTGGCATTTCCTCCGACCTTAGAAAGTTGAAATCAAATATTGATTCATTGCTTGTCCGATGTTTGTTTGTAATGTTGCAACGAAGTTGAGTTTTTTTTAATAGTACAGCAGGAAATAGCAAATTTAACCCAAATTATTGCTAAAAACAATTGCAAACATGTATTAATAAATCACTCACCATCATCTTTTCGAGTTCTGTATCTTTCCATTTATCCATAGTTACAGATCGTACAAACGATAAATGCACTCCAAGGCTACGATGTACACCAGAACACTCCAAACAGATCCATATGCCATAAGTTACCGAAACCCATTGCGGATTTAATGTTCCGCACTCGAAACATCTCTACAACAAGAAATAATTAACCATAAAATCAAGAAATCAAAAAAAAAGAAATAATTGTTTTTTATAATACATACATCGTTTTCATATAAGTTGCGAATTGAGTTTAATTTACGACGTGTCCTAGGTGAAGCCATTATATATACAAAATAAATAAATCAATGTCCTAATTCACTAATATGTAAATAGTTATTGATGTAACAACCGCGGCGGTAGTAAATTCATACAATTTAGTAAATTTACTTAATTTAAATTATAATGTTAATAGTGCAATTTGTGTTAAGTTCTTGGTTTTGATTCCACGGATAAATCTACAGACGTTACTAGGTAAAACTAGATAACTACATCACAATCTAAAAGTCAAAATCTGTGGTAACACATAATTCTTTTATACATCTATGGTCGTGCACTCTAACTTTCTTTATGGTCAAGATGTCTCTATACTCTTTGGCTTAAAGGTCTTGTTACCAGGCCATTAAATATTATTTAAAAAAAAATCTCTATACTCTATTAAACCAAATTACGCTTATGTCAGTTACCAGGCCATAAAATATTATTAAAAAAAAAAAACGCCTATGTCAAGAAGGCACATTTTACGGATCGGCCATTACTGCATTAGAAGACATCACACGACGAGTAGCCGCGAAGAAAAGAAGCCTTGGTGAGACAAAATATACTTTAGAAACTTTATCTCATCATACAGTTATACGTTCTTCGATTTTATTTAATTTAGAAATCTTTCAAGGTAGTTTCGAGTTCAATCCTTTTCGTTGAGTCGTTGTAACAGTTACCCGCCGGCGTGATTTTTAGCATCCGGTTGTTTTATAAAATTTTTATCGAGCTTTGAAACCATATAATTCCAAAATGCAAGACGAAGAAAAACCCAGAAGCATCGTAGAAGTGGAATATATGAACATCACTAACGAAAACTCATGGCCCGTGATATACCAGGTAACATGTGACACTTAAATGCCACGCGTTAGTCGCGCGTTTCAAAATGGATCCTTACAATTTTTAACAAATTCCGATTTTTCAAGGGTTAATAGGTTTGAGGGAATTGAGATCTGGTGGTGGAGGAATAATCCTGGATGTGGAAGTGAGTGGATGCAAGATAAGTTGCATCCACTCACTTCATGATTTATATATTTTACGGCACGGTCATAGTTCACTTAACTGTTACATTTTATGTTAATATCACCCTAGGATGATTTTGAATATCATCAATCAAGTTTCAATATTTAAACAATTATTCTTATATTCTAAAACTACAATTTAAATGCAAAAATGTACCTGCCATTACTTACATATATAACCTCCAAAACTTGCACACCCACAATTTTATGCAATATACCATAACCAAGTCAGAAACCTCAGTCCAAAATACACATTACCTGCTATATATACCTAATTATATATTAAAAACTAACCATGCACTTTGAAATATTCCCTCAAAATTGATTTTTTTTAACTAAACTCACTTGTCAAGGAGCAGTATCTGTAACTAAACATATCATCACTAACCTGTTTGGGTCCACTGCTGGACAAAGGCCTCTCCCAATGTATACCATTCATTCCTCTTTTGAGCTCTATTTATCCATTTGCTGCCGGCTCCTTTCTTCAGGTCACTAGTCCACTGTGCGGTCTGCTGTGCTGGTTGCCCTGCACTGTGCTTGCATAATTGTGGTCTCCAATCTAGTATATGACAGCTCCAACGACCATCTTCTCTTCTGCAGACATGGCCAGCCTATTGCCATTTTAACCTACCAATTTTGCTAGCAATATCCATTACTTTTGTGAACTTTGTCTGCAAAACATATTCCTAACATAGCTCATTGGGCTACTTTTAGCTTGTTTATCAATCCGCAAGTAAGATTTAAGGTCTCAGCTCCATATATCATGATAGGTAGGATACACTGATTGAAGACATTTGTTTTTAAACTCTGTAGTATAGACGACCTAAGTATCCTCTGAAGCTTTCTGAGTACGACCCATCCTAAGTAGATTCTTCTGTCTGCCTCAGCCACAAAGTTTTGCATGCCTAGTTTTATTTTTTGTTTTAGACTAAATATGTATTCCTTTACTAAAGCTAACTTTTTAACTTGCTTCATAAACAGTCTACTTTTTAACTCCCTACTACTTACTCCTAGATACGACTCTCAGTATATTTAAAAGCCATAAATTCTTTATTAACTACTTCTTATATAATTTATTAAAGTTTATTTAAAACTCCCTTTAACTCCTTTTGGAAGGGTCGCTACTAGTTACAAATGGATTATTAAAAAAAGACCTTAAATGCCTAACAATTCTGCACAATGATAAGTTAACTTCTCATCATCATAATGTCTCATCTGTTTGCTTAACATTATATAAAATATAAACCGATAGGAACTCTAAAATTCTTTTTTTCTTTCAATTTTCTTACTTTTAACAAAACAACAAGAAAACAAATTAATATAGGACCGAATTATTAAACATTTGTAAATAACTTATATATTAAAATTATATTTTTCTATATAATATTAAAATTATAAGTTAAAAATTAAGATAAAAATTAATCTAATCAGAAGCATGAATGAAAATACTCATTATTTGTTGAAAAGTATTTTAAGGTTAGGCGTCCAAAAATATTGATTAAATTATTTTATTTTAGAAAATCGGAAAGGAAAGTCTAGCACATGGATATACTTGTAACGAAGCAAGAAAACCAGAAAATAAACATCTTAACAGATACAGAGATGTAAATCCGTATGATCATAGCAGAGTTATCTTACAACGGTGTGACGGAGATTATATCAATGCCAATTATGTTAAGGTAGACCATATTTTAATTTATTTCATTATTAGTCCTTAAATTTTTTTAAAAATTAAATTAGTCTAAAAATATTTTTACAATTTTCAAGTCTAAATTGTTTTCAGTTGGATCGTGCAAACCGCAAATACATACTAACTCAGGGACCACTAAAGTTTACCGTTAATCACTTCTGGTCAATGGTATTTCATGAAAAAACTAAGGCAATCCTCATGTTAAACAAGCTGTTCGAAAAGAATGAAGTAAAATGCCACCAGTATTGGCCAAATCAGTTTAATTCTGTATGTTCTTTAAAGGAGGTGAACCTAGAAATAACCCTTACTAGTGTAGAGAACTTTGGTTATTACATAGTTCGCAAAATTTTGTAAGTGTGTCTTCTTTTTTATAACAACTTTTTATGACTTAGTTAAGACTACTGTTAGAAAGTTTTATATTTAATGATTTGGATAAAGTATGAAATTAAAAGGTAAAGTAACGTATCTTTATAAAGTACAATAGAACTAGTTTTCTATATCTACTGCTTAACAATATATTCGTTTTCTAGGCTTCATGACACAATCACCTTAGAATCCCGAATGGTGCTTCACTTTCACTATACAACATGGCCAGATTTTGGAGTGCCGAGTTCCCCAAAAATGTTTTTAGACTTTTTGAAGGCAGTGAGGGCGTCTGGTGCTTTGGAACCCGATTGTCCTGCCATTGTACATTGCAGCGCTGGCATAGGACGCTCTGGAACTTTCTGTTTAGTGGATTCGTGTCTGGCAATTGTAAGTATTCATTTTTACTACTACTTAATTTTACCGACCGACCCACCCCAATGCTAGGACCAGTGTAATAAAAAAGCCGTCAGCACGCCCTATTTGGTAACCTATTGTCTAAATTATAGGAACTGGCATAACTATTTTTATAATATTTCCAATTGCAAAACTCAAATAGAAAATAAAATTATATACTATTTCCTGTTAACACTTAACATGCACTTACTTCCCTGAAGCAGAGATAGTTGCTGAAAAGTATGTGAAGCCTAGCTTTACCTTCTAATATGTACATTTTCTAGATTTATCATATATACTAACTCTTATTGAATTGGAATCAGTAGTTGTGAATATGTGTGATATATGATGTGACAATAAAGACCTTCAGTGTTAGGACTCAATCAATGAGTGAACTGATTTGTGCAAGTTTAGTTTATTTTAGTTGGGTACGTCGGTCATTTGAGCTTAGTAAATATATACTTAAAAAACAGATCTATTTCTTTTCGGCTTTCGTTTGGCGTAGTTCAGAAATTATTGAAATAGAATAAGGAAGAATGCAAAAATTACAGAAAAACCTTTTTTTTTATTATAAACCCTATAAAAAAATTGACTGTCACTTTTAATCTTCCAAAATCTTGAGCAGCCATTAAAAGTTAGAACACATGATTAATGTTTATTTTATTAGTATAAATTGCACCTGCCACATTGGTTAGTACCTTCAAATGTAGATGACGGGGTTCCCGTTGGGACGCGCGAAATTTTATTTCGGTATTTGTAATTCTTGTAAGAAATTCTAAAGCCAGCTCCAAATTTAAAGGTATTAACGTCCGGCTAGGTTATCACTTAATAAATTTGATGGCAGTCGTTACAAGGAAGAGCACGTGGAAAGTGGAACTGTTGACCTTCGAGAGGAGAGGTACACGTATGACGGTGTCGTTGGTTTAATGGTTCGACTCCCGCAGAGTCCATCATGTTTCAAAATTTTCAGTTCATACGTTTCCTGAAACATGTTGGATTTCCTCTTGAAAATTTGGAAATGGGTGGTAGGAATTTCGAAATACCGTCCGGGTCCGTGAAAAAAAACCCTTGAAGTTTAATCGCGTTTCGGTTTCAGCTTGTGGATTTCCGAATATCCAAAGCCTAAATAAGTCGTCAACGCATCTTACGTAGATGTTATATGACTGGGCTATTTCACTTCTCATCAATTGAACTCCATACTTGTCTGTTATCCTCTATATTAAAAGAAAACCCTGTACCTATTAAATTATATTTCTCATTTTCAGATGGAAAGGGACGGACAGGATACCGTCAATATACAGGAAATCCTTAAAGAGCTGCGCCAAAGCCGCATGGGGCTGATCCAGACGCCTGATCAACTACGCTTTTCGTATCAGGCTATTATCGAGGGCTTGAAGAGACTCGCTCCAGATTACGTGAGTATTACTGCACTTCACGTAATTTGAGCATTCCAACATAATCGTATAATTGTTACAAAATTTTTTAATGTTAACTTTAGTGTATTTTTTCTTACTTGGCATTTTTTGTAAAGAAACATACAAGTTTCATGAAATCGGGATTTCTCACAAGGTTAACAACATTCATAAACTCTAAAAACACTTTGAGAAAATGAATTATATATTAAATGAATGAATTAACACAAATTCACTTAGTAAATCACAATGTCATGTTAAAAGTAATAAAACCCTAAAAATAAATTCAAGCAAAATACACACATTATTTGCAACAATAGTAAATTAAATTCCACTAATGCACGATCGCTAAAAAGCGTTACAAACTTTGAATTAAATAATAATGACATAAAACTAGAGAATCTAACTTTACATTTACTACCAGTTCTCAAATCAAGAATCTTTCCAAATACTTTTTACATACCATTTAAACATATTTATTGAGAGTGTTTGCATTTCACTGGGGATTTTATTTAAGTATCGTATACAATCCTTGAAAATAACTACTACTTTTATGGAGCCTTCTGGTTGGTACACTTATTTTGTCCTTATTACGTGTATTGTACTGATGAAAGCTGCCGCTAGTTTTAAAAGTATCTACATACATATAATAATAGATATATTGACATGCCAGCATTAGAATATTCGACCAAGGGAGTCTCTTGAGGAAAGACCACAAATCGCTCACATTGTAATCGCCCGTTTTTTTCAAATAACAGTGGTTTGAATATTGGCTGCATTGCCCCACAAAAGGATACCTTACTATGGAAGTAACTGAAGTAAAGATTTTTCATTTGGACCACACATCTCTCTGGAGTTTACAATAAAACCTAAAAACAAATCAACTAAACCAATCAACGACTCTGGAAACAGCATTTTTCATCGTTTATTGCTATTGCCGACGTTTCTTTCGGATGCTTTGTAGCAGCCGTGGTCACGAGGCGTGGAAACATCGGGCCGAAGTTAAAAATCATTTTCAAATAAGTTAACTAATATATCGCTTTTTAAACCGTTGAAGTATTTCATTAAAATGTGTACTACTCGCGTAAACTATAGACAGTATTTAATATAATTTGATAAATGAAGGGCGGCAGAGGATGAAGATTTTAAAGTATGTAGTGGAATGACGGTAAAGAACTTCTCAAACAAGACCGAAATAACCTAACTTTTAAGTTTCATAATATCATGGAATCCAGAAAGATTAAGACTCTTATTAAATTATTTTTTTATTGCAGTCGGAAGAGGATTCGTCACATATATACGCTGCGGTGCCTGAAGAAGCAGAGGAAGCGGGTGGGAGTGAAATAACACCACCCCCACCGCCACCCAGGGGAGAGAGCTTAGGCAGAAGTGATGCTGTTGAGTTCAGACCCCTGCCTCCGATACCCACTAGCACCTCACTTGGTAATCTTTCATGTTATAATTAAAAATTTGTAGATTACTGTCATGTGAACCAATCTGATACTATGGAGGTGGCTCTGAAATCAAGATCAGTGTTTTTATATAATGTGAAATAAGAATAAAAACTAACTTAAGAAAATCAAGCTGAGTCACTCCATCCTCCACGTCCAGAGAGATGACGAAATTTCCAAATTCTAGAAAAAGTATATTTCTGTTAAATGTTATATGGCTGGGTTATCAGGTTATATGGCTTATATTAAAAGAATAAGCTTCCCGACTCCACGGCGTGCTTCTAGCGATATTTTAGTCGGCCGGGCAAAATATTGCTTTAATATTGGCTGAGTTAGTAGGGATCGGTTGGTATTACGAGATACGCTTTCTTGACACTCCGATCATCTCCCATTCTCTCTAAATGGTGTGCCAAGTGTTTTATCATTCTAACTCTAGCGTCGATCCTTCATTTGGAGCGTTCCAAGTTTCTTTCGCATAATCTTCATATAACTTCGTAAAGTCAATCTTAAATGTTTGCATATGAGCAATGAACCTCAATTACATATTAAAAAGTCTATGATTTTGAGTTCCTGTATTTAACTTTTGTTTTCTAGATCTTCCTCATTTCTCTTTGGATTCGTCCAGCTCAGAAGAGTCTCTACCCTCACCACCGTGTGAAGCCGCGTCGGACGATTCGTAAGTACCACAATATTGTAAACATATTTTAAGAGTTCGACTCTGATATGGGAACAAAGCCAAAACAATGGCTCGCGCAAGCAGTGACCCGACGAAAAAATCTTCCGTAGCATACGTGTATGGCGTGAGTTATAGCCAATGAAATAAAAATATTAATATTTATTGCCTGACCTGTAGCCAAATGTTTAAACGTATTGCCTAGCATTGCGATAAGTGCGAGAGTTCCTGGGTTCGAATCCCAGAGAGACAAAAAACTGTTTCGGTCAGGCAGGGTACAGAAGTCTGATCAACTACATTATATTGCATATCACATGCCTAAGAACTTTTAACGGGGGGCGCGGCTGAGGGATTTTGCTTCTAACGGCAATACAAACGCAATTATTTAATTACAGAGACGATAACACAAGCAGTCCTGCTGTTGTGCGTAAACGCCGCAATGTCGTGCTCTATAAACGAATCACCGAAATGAGAAAGCGCGCAAGCGCGTCTGAGGAGTTGCGCGAAACCAAGAGGTCACTATATAAGCCACTCACGATTACAATAGGGTTCCTTCTAACTGGTCTCATTGTCTACACATATATCAACCATTAGACTAAGTTCCATTGACATCTGTGCAGGACGTCGATTAAGCAAAACTGTCAAACTCTTATCAAAGCATTCCTTTCTTTCACACCCGAATATGTTTAAATAAAGCACATTAACGGTTAAAATGCAAAATATATTTTCGGATGCTTTGCAGCAGCCGTGGTCACGGGGAGACGTAGTTAAAATAATTTTTAAATAAATTTATGTAATATATTTCGCGTTTTAAATCTTTATGTTTTATTTAAATGTAAGAACTACAGACAGTATTTAGTTAAATTGCGATAATATCGAATAAAACTGACCCTACTATTTCTAGAAGTGAAAGAAGCCTTGCCAAATCTATTAATTGAAAGACAGTTTTGTTTCAATGTGCAATATGTATTTATTGATTCGATCGTTCAATAAATCATTATATAGCGATGAACTGAAAGCATTCAGATGTCAGTGAAGTTCATAATAAAGAAAAACATTCTTATAAGGAGTAATTCCTTAGTGCATGGTAGTACTGTCCATAAAAGAAAGCAGGTGGAATTGCAAGACTGTTATTTGTAATGGCGCAGCCAAGGCAACCTAGCTCTTGTGGCTATTGTCGAGAACTGCATTTTACGCGATATAGAAATGCTGGAACGAATTTCAAACACGTCGCACGAGAGCGTAGGGACTATTTACGGGTGAAAAAAAAAACAATTTACAAACACCCACAAATATTTCCCAATAAGTATTTATGTTGCATTTATAAGATCAAATTTGTATCTTAGTTTATAATATATTGTTGTTTTTCGACGCGGCTGATTTTTCTATAATAACTAGTTTTGGCATAAAAATTCTTATTCTTAATTATTAAACATCGCTAGAACTGTGATTATTATAATAAATCGTGAAATTCAGAAGTAATGAAATCGTATCAGGAGTATAGGCGCTAAGTGTAATGCCGGTACAATATCGATTCGGTTCGATTCTTCGTCAATAAATTAGTATTTTTCGATAATCTTATGGATTGTGTTTAACTGTGATTTGGTTGTTGCGTGGGCAGAATGTTTTTACTGTTACCACGGATCGACCTAATATCGTAAAGGCCATTAAATTTTTTACACCTTCATTGTGATGCTGTTCTGTGTTGCAGCTGTTGTTTTAGCTGCAGTATTAACTTTGCGTCTTTATACAATCAATTGTTACTTGTGGTATTACGTTTAGATATATTTATAGAGTAATGGAGCGAGTACAGTGTATTAGATGTACTGTTCTACCGGGAAGAGTACTCCAATTTTAATCTCAATGAAATTTCAACATCCACCGGCACAATTAACATCATTTTCGCTTATACTTTCCCTACCCTGTCATGAATATCTATAAATTCAGGTGCAGAGTTGAGAAAACTGCTAAGTAGTGATATCGAAAGCGGTAAGGCGCTTGCTGGCATAGATTGTACTATAACCAAGTAAGCCAGAAGTGAATGCCTACGAATCCACTCGTCAGGATTAAAAAGCTGCAGCGGAGTCTGCCCCAAATTATACGAATGAAAAGATTATGGTTCAGGCATATGGAAGGGCTTCAAATCCGTTTTAGAAGAAGTCATTAGAATCCGGGGAATGTAAATATTAAAGATGATTAACACATAGATCTTTGTTTATTTCAAATTCATCTTATGAGTCCATTTTGAAAATGGCGAAATATTATTTTTATGAGACATGGTGTTTTTGCTTGTTTTTTTTTATAATCGATTGTCATGAAATGTCAATAGATATTTTTAAAAAGAAATAAATTACAAGGTCGAATGTTAATTGTGCCGAGAGGGTAGTTTCATGTTCCGGTGTGGTTGCTTTTGTGAAAATGTTTAAAGATTATATGTTTTAATGCGAAATGAAAAACAATTAAAAAGGGTATTTCATTTTTCTAGAAGGAAACTTCGTTACGCCGTTCAATCTGAAACTATTGACATCGTCCGTTTCATCAACGAAGGTATCAGTATTTCAACTTCCTCCGATAGTAGTTATAGTTTTCATTGTATATGTCCACGGTAACAGGGAAGTAAAATAGAACTTAAAAACTATTTTTATTTGAAACAAGTAACAGACAGGATCCGAACAGGCAACAGCGCACCGAGCCGTTGCTGTCATTTGAGCAATGGCAAAGTGTTTTTTGCCATTGGATTTCGGTGGCACTTTGTAAATATTGAAATGTTTTAGAGAGCTGAGTACTAACTCATTATTTTTAGTATCTATGTATTTTTATTTCGCCATTATGGGTTTTATGGTTTTTATGATATATTTAGTTTGTAAAGCATAAGAGACTGTGATCTGGTGGAATATGGTTGCATGGGTGTACCTACTGAGTTAAAGATACACCACTGTGGGCAAATGTTCCATGTATATTGAAATTTATTATACATATTTTGATAAGACATTTTGTACACACCTCAAGCGTTTGTCCCATTAGTATTTATCTATGTAAATGAAATATATGCTTAGATTCAGCAACGAGACTATTCAGTACAAAATTGTGAACACTGCCTTAGCTGATCTACTCCGACAGATTTTGTATATGTGTATAACATGAAACCGTCATATAAAAATATGTTAATGGATTTTCAATATAAATATAAACAAATTAACAGTTTTAAGTCATTTCGTAGACGTTATTGCATTTCAAAACATTTTATTAAACATTACCATGTTCTCGAGCTTAACGCAACGCAAAGTATTATTCCATTCGTCACGGCGATAAATCTTTTTTTTTTTCGACATTTTATCTCTTGTCAATGTTCTCTTTTGTTACTTCTTAAAGGAATCGATACATGTCATAAACTAGTTTGTATTTAAATAGATAATCGCCGTGATATCAGAAAATAGCACAAACAGATTTACACACACACACACACACTTGAAAGTAAAATATTCATATATACTACTAACTAATGTATTGTATATGGTTCAGACAGTATGTATCAAGATTAACATTTAGTAGTTATCGTATATAATTGTATACGTGTAAGTATAATAAATTAATTATATGTACTTTGTGATTATCAAAATATTCAAGCGATAAGTCGTTCGGCCGTGAAATAGCAACAAACATTCATCCAAGGATCCTTACACGTATTGGTTTAATTATTTATTTATATTAGTACAGTTATTTGCCAGCACAATTGTTCAGATACAACAGAAATTGGATTTAGTTGTTAGTATAAAATTTGGTTATCATATATTTATTTAATGTTTATTTAACTTAATTAAATATACCTATTTTCTTTTTATCTAATTATTGAATAACACTTCGAATGGACGAATGGCGTAGGTATATATCCTACGTCATTTTATTTTTTATTATATGATTGTAATGATTTCAGATTGGGAAACCCCGAGTAGCGAAGAGTCGGATGATAACGAGTCGGATGATAACGAGTCGGATGATAACGAGTCGGATGATGACGAGTCGGATGATGACGAGTCGGATGATGAAGACTGAATAATTACAGCGTCCAATGTATTTTTTGGACCCTTTTTCCTTATTAGCTTAATTTTTTTTACATTTTTTAGAGTGTTTTTTTTACATTTTTTAGAGTGTGTTTTTTTACATTTGTTAGAGTGTGTTTTTTTTACAACAGAGTTTGTTTATTTTGATACCGTTATTATTAGAGATGAAACGGATACTTGCTTTAACGGGTATTGAACATTCGGCCAACTTTGAAGCCGAATCCTTATTCGTCCGAAAAACCCTTGTTTTCGGGACGAAAGTAACCGAATGGCGACTCGTTATTTTCTATTTCTCAAAAGATTGTAAGTAAGCCATTATTAGTTTAAGATCATGTCTAGTCAGTCTAATAGAGAACTGTTTAAGAATTGTAGAATAGTTAGGAATAAATTTTTGACGTACGGCTTTAATTTTCAGTATTAAATACAATAAATTCTTGTGATAAAATACTTGCACTAACGTATAAGACTTGTCAAATCATATAACACGATAAATTTACAACTTACAAAATTAATTAAGGCAGGGTTAAAAGTGTGATCAACGTCGTGCGTTCCTTCAATAGTATTTTACATGTCTATTTAGTTTATTTCGTGAACCAAGTGCGGTAGGATAGATCGAAATAAGTAAAATAATTATTTAGATTATGTAAACGATGAGACTGATATCGAATGTCATATTTTTTGTTACGGCACCGGCGACCGACTCGCCGGACTAATCGTAAGGACTTCGTTTAACGAATTTTTTTTAACTTAAATGGTTACCGTTTCATCTCTAGTTATTTGCTTATTTATAAGTGAGAAATGCGTGTGTACGAATCTATTGTTTACAAGATTTGTATTTAACAGCGCATGATATTTTTTCTTTCATAAAGATTTATTAGATTGTAAGTTTTTGCTCGTTTTGTTTTCCATTTAGTGAGAATGTATACGATTCGTTGCTTTCTAAATATTTTAATTAAGCGTTACGTTCAATATTTAGTCAAAGACACTGGATTTGTGCTTCATATGCACATTTTGTTTGTCATAAAAAGCTCGATTGTTTTACTTTAGCTAAATTTTGCTTTTTTTCTTTGCTTACTTTTGTACTTTTTGCATGAAATATATACTACTAGAGTGTTGCTATTGTTGCTTTTTCTTTAAAATTTCTTGCGATAAAGTTCTTAAATCATTTATGACCTCAATCTTAAGCTATTTGGATTATCGAAAGCCTGGCTGGTTTATATGGCTTTGATATTTCACCAACCATGCTTTGCTCTCTTCTGTCATAAAAACAGACAGTTTACTTAAATAACGTTGCGCGTCACGGTACGTAGCTGTTAAATCAAAAGAATTTGCGCCTTCAAATAAAAATATATATATATAGAAAATGGAGAATATCGTTGAACGATAAAAATAATCTGCATATGATAAAAGTATTTATTTGTTATGTAATATGCCTACTTAAAACCTTAAAACCACCGCTTCGCGAACCTTTATTAATCCTATAATTATTAGTTTTATCTTTTACGCATCGCTCGAGAAGAATTAGAATTTTTGGGCCTAAGTTTTACGTTCTTGGGCATATCTAAGGTTTTCTTCCCGACAATCTTTAATATTTTTTCCAAATTTTCTTATTAGACAGGTTCTCTAACAGAGCTTTAGGTTGAAATTTTACAATAGTGAAAACGTGATCAATATTTTTTGGAGCCTAATAAAAAAAAAGAAGTTGAAGCACAACTGGCTGCACCTGACAAAAAGCAATAAGTTCATTTGCATAATCGATCAAACAATTGCGCGTCATATTCTTCTCTCTCAGATACATCGCTTCTTCCTACATCCTACGAGGGCGAGCACCAAAGTTAGAGTTAGGTAAATCCCTTTCCTATTTATTTAAATAACTTGAGCAATACGAACAGTAAAGTTTCAGGTAGCGGACCGTCGGCGTCTTTGGCCAGGACCGGCCACAGGACAAGGAAAGCATATTATATGAAATATAATATATTTACATAATACAACCTAAGACTCTCTAGGATTCAAAATCAATTTAGTGCACTCGGGTGAAGATACCGAGGTTCAATTTGAATCCCGGATGATATGTTAGATTACTATCTGGTATTTTTGTTTAAGGTAGGCCCTATGTCGTGGGCTCTTTTAAAAGTAACGCACTTACCTTACCAACGAAATTTACCAAAAAGGTGGATTAATTTTCATTGTCATGACAACATACTAAAAAAGAACTCTTGATAATATACAGAAAGACATAGTAATTGCACAGAATTGCTAGCACAGTTGTTCTAGTCTTCACTATTTATTGCGTTATAACAAATTGATTGGGCACCCTAATATAGGTGAGAGACGGCTAGATAGAGTAAAGGTAATTAAAGTGATCGTGATGCTGAGATGTCTACTTCCAGAGAATATCAAGCGATGAAATTACAACTATAGAAGTAAGTGTTTTATTACAATGTAAGAGGTAAATACACTATCGTATGTCTTTAAACGGCAATGGCACAATATTAAATAAACTTACTATGACGAAGGAGAAAATAGTTTTGCTTAGAACAACACACTTTCATTTCCTACTAACAGTTCTGTTTGATATTATTCACTCAGCATAAATTAAACAGTATACGTATTGTAGTATTTTTATTGTATTAAGAATATAATTTACTTCAAAATCATACAACAATTTTATAGAATATGTAAACATAAAAATTTGGCCCGAAAAGTATATGGTTTACTTTTTCATGCCTAGATAGTGAAGGTACCAAGATATTAATTTATTTATTTTGAATTGAACATTTACCCGTTTATATATATACAAGACGAACGAAATATCACAAATCAACATAAAAATGCATTATATCAATTTTAACAAGTTTACATATTTAAATATTATTTGTTCAATTAAATTCGAATAAGTAAGTAATAGTATTCACTTTTTTTCATAACTTTATAAGCTTTTCGAGACAAGTATATATTTATCGTGAAACTCACGAGATCAAAAGTCAAGTTTTAAACTAAGTGTCATAACATTATCGCCAATTCGAAAGCGGGGTGGGTTATTTCTTAAATATATATATTGACGTCAACTATTATCACAAATCAAATGAAATGTTTTGCAATTTAACAGGGCGTTAATTCAATATTCCTTTTTAAATTGCCAACGACTATATTTGTTGGTCACGACCCCATTTCAAAATTCTAAACGACAACATGAAATTCTATCTACTTTACTACAATTATTGATTTATTATAAATACATCTTTTGTGCATGCCACGTTGAAACAGTACTAAAGAGAATATAATTGTGCTTTGAATGTAGAAGACATTTTTGAAAGAACAGTACGGTGTTTTGATATTGAGAATCGTTTTAAATCTACACAATTCGTAACCATACATAAAATTGTAATAATTTATGCCTTCGAGCAACAAAAACGTTGACAAATACACACTTTTAAATAAAACACTTTAACGGTTTAAAACGCGATATATAATAGTTAAAATTATTTTTAAATTCGGCCTGACGTTTCGAATGCTTGCAGCACGTTTTGAACCGTTATAGTGTTGTATTTGAATGTGTCCTACGCGCTTAAACTACAGACAGTATTAATTAAATACACAATTTTTTAATTTGAACTAATCTCCTGATAAAACCAACGACAATGCAATGTACAACATTATTAACCCTTCAAAAGTTCCCACTGATAAGATTTAAGCAGACTATGAGGTAACATCTACCATCCACAAACCTACACAGGCCAAATGCGTACATATAGGCAAGGCATATAACACATATTACCAAATTTATGGACATCGGACATATTTTCTATACGATGTTTTCTTTACTCAAGAAACACAATTTTAAGACTTCACTTGTGTTATGACAATAATAATTAAATATTTGTGTTTGTGTACTAAAACAAACATTAAAGTTGTGTGCGAAAGAGATAACACTACATTTTTCCTGTTCTTTTTAGGTAACCTAAAAAACATTACTGTAATAAAAAGTGTTACAATTTCATTAAATCTCATGATATATATGAAATTTACTAACAAAGTTAAACTTTCTTGTCAACAGCTATTATTTATAAGCGATATTTTACAATATGAAAATTTTACCTTAGGCAAATACATACATACATATATATAAGACGATAACGAGTTTTTTTTTATTTAGAAACGAACTACACTAAACTTTGCATAGGGATATCCATTTGCTTAGGTATAACTTAATTTAGGAGATAGAAAAGATCAATTGGTAAATATTACACGATACGGTAGCTCAATCGCTTAGAGCGACAGCACGGAACGCTGTTGATGCCGATTCAAGTCCTACACGTGTCGTAAATTTTTGTAACCAAAATCGATATTTAATTTACAACACTACTATTTGAATTCGTTACAGTTTTATTTACAAATTTTCTTTAATTTGGCACTATATTTCTAAAATATATACTGCGAAGGTACATATACATCTTCGTATTTGTTAATATTTTCTACATATAGATGATATTACAAGATAAGATAAGATTCATTATTTTTTTATTCATATTTCACAGTTAGTTACACATTTAAAAATAATTTGTTTTATTTTTATTTACATAGAACATACGTACACTTTAGGTATCATATTTGGATAAGGGAAACAACGTTTTTAAAACGATTTTTATCAAAGTTAAGACTCATCACAGAAGTTCGTCAACGACAAAAGACAATAAACATTCATGAGAATTATTACAAAATATTACGTTTAAACAAAAGTTCTCTTAAAAAATATATTAAGTCTTGGATAAATAGTTTTACAAAATAACGATCGCTACTCTTCAAAAACTACCACGTTCATTTTAATTTAGGCTTTAACAGTATAATTTTAAAATCTGAAAATAGTTCAACATTTCAACATACAAACGCTAATCTCGCATACCTACCAAAGTACTCGGACGTATTCATCATAAAGCTTACACCATCACACGCGAAAGTTCAATAGCCCTATATTAAGTAAAAAATTCTACCGTCCAAATTAAAATCCCTTTAAAAGCTCTCCATTAGGTACGTATAACATGGACGCGACATGCTTACATCGCGCCGAAACCCAACACGTCTCGATAAAATGCAACGATGACAGTTCCCCTTCATCTGACGTTCGCAGCTTCGGTATTGGTTCCATCGTGGTATTCGTGGAAGCAAGGGACGATGCATAAGTTTGTTCGACATTCTGGACAGTGGTATTGCGTTTTGCGGCGAAGGATGCGGCCGCATTCGTCAACGGTGTTCCAACAGAAGTTGCAGCTGAGTGGAGGACCAAAACGAAAGGCAGGGGTGTGGCTTGCGCGCGTTGTTTGGGGCGCGGTGTCTACGGGAGCTGTCTCCGTTGACGTGGTGGTAGCTGGTGACGACGCCGAGGTCGACGGTTGACGGTCAAGTACGGTCCGTATAAGCAAAGGGCCGACGGTCTTCTCAATCTTAGCACGCCGACTCTGAAACCATTAAGTTACAATAAATTAGGAATTTGAACTCGCTTTAACTATACTGTCTTTGTCAATTATACACAATGTTTTATTTACACGCGTTGCGCTACTGACGTTTTTCCACGAGTTGTAGGATATTTAGATTTTGGGCTCGTGATGTTTGTAATACAATTACGCCAAAACGACTTAACCAAAATATTAGCGCTATTAAAAGTAGAGAAAATAGTGGGACACATGTTTTTCAATGTACTATTAAAAAATATATATTGTTCACAACTCTAAAACATAAATAAAACTTATGACTTAGGGGTGTTAGATTATAAATTGACAGCAAATTCTCTGAACTAATAAAAAGATATATAGAATGTTTGTTATCAAATGTAAAATGGATGGATGTTATGTACAAATGGAATTATATTTCACGAACCTTGGTTGTTGTATATTGGGGATATGATTCGTGTTTCTGCAAAGTTGGCAAGGAGTGGGCTGCAGGAGAAAGTAGTGGTTCCGATCTCTGCCTGCGGACTTCTCTCTCCTCTGGCTGCACTCGATTTTGTCGCTTAAGCAACTTTGTACGCCACAACCTCAAATCTAATTGGGAATCTACCGGCTCTGTGGAAGATTACGTGTGAATCAAGTCTTTGAGAGATTGCCCCCCTCCATCGGGGGTGACATACCTATTCGCCAAAAACTCCAAACGCCCCATGCGTTCGAAATAACTAGTCATTACGTAATCCGACAGACGTAAGCGTGTGAACATGACAATAGTAAACAGTAACGAGCGATGCTATATGTATAATGCATTGAGAACAAATCTACGATCAGCTTCTAAATTTTGTCATTGTAGTGTATGTACGGGGTAAGTTGAAAGTAACAAGAACGGAGTACAAAATAAAAATTAGCTTTATTGCCTATTTTGGTATTAAGTAGTGCTACGCACATACATATTTACACATGCAATTATGACATAAGAATGATAACTATCCAAATTATCAATAGGTATCGGACAAGACCAAAATTATTATTTTAAATACCTTCATATGTACATGTTAAAATAATTGACGATTTATTTTAATTACACAAACTCATAATACTGAACATTTGATTGAGGGCAGGCGCCTTATATTATACTAACATTAGATGTTGTCTGGTAACGAAAAGACATTATTGATAACATCCATAGAGAACATTTCTACTTTTTACGAAAATATATGATTAGTTCAGATTTGATTTAAAATATACATTAAAACTTGAGTTTATACTTGAAATATAGACATCATAAAAATTTAATGTAATCAATTTCTAAGTCTAGAAATGCGGTATGATAAAAATTAAAATCAAATTAATACACAATGGAATTAAGTAACATACCTATTGCATAGTAAATAAATGTAACTTAGATTGTCATGCATATATAATATATTTACAACGCTATAGCATTAACATTAGAAAAAGTAAGTTTTGAATAAAAAATACGTTACCAATACTATCAAGTTACTATTCGGGTATACAATGATATAAATAACATGACAGGATGTTTTAGTAACTTGTAAATCGTAAAGTAAGAGTGCAGCTCTCGAGTTTCTAGATAACATGAGAGATTCTTTGATGTGCAAGTAAACATTTAAATAAAACACATTCAACGGTTTAAAACGCGAAACATATGAGTAAACTTAATTTTTACTACGACATTTTCGATAATTTTTCAGTAGTCGTGGTCACTCGGGAACAAGTTTACTCGCGTGTTTGCGTTTTACACCGTTGTGTGTTTTATTCAAATACAATGATACATACTAAATCCTAAATTATACAATAAAATACTTGTAAATAATAAATGCGTTCACGAAATTATTCATACGGTAAGGAACGGTATAAAACTTACAAATAATAAAAATCAGTCAGATTAGGAGATCTTGAGTGCATAATCGTTTCTCTATAAAATAAAGTGTATAAAACAAATATTATAATGTTTTTCTCCTTTACAAATTACAGTTGTGGTATATACTGACGTCATAAAAATATATTCAGAAACCTTATTGACCTAAAATACAAAAACCGTCACGTTTCAAATTGACGTAAATACAATATTAAGTACGCAAAGAAAGTAATACTATATAGTAAAATTGTATACGATCCGTAAATGCAAAAAATGTGATGAACTGAAAATTGTTCAATAATAACCCGTGATGATATAATATTTATTCGGTAACCATAATTCACTTAATACGTAAATTGTGATGTAATTTGTGCATTTTGTTGATGTTCTTGTGAGGCAATGTTAAAATGACGATGCTTAAATTCCATCTAACTAGACGTGGTATAGACACGAGTTTGACTGGTTACAAAAGACGCTTTTTTGAGACAGAGGACAGACAAGAACGGGGACCACTTGAAGTATAGTAAGATATCCCAAAAGTATAGGCTGTTGAATTTTGCTTTGGACATTCGCAAGTCCATAGACTGAAACCAAAGCGCAATTACCACACGGCTTTTCCATCTGTGGGCGGTGTTTCATTATAGTTTCAGCCGTCCGGTCTCCATTGCTGGACATAGGCCTTCCCCATAGGCTAAAAGTACGACCACTCGTTTGCTAGTTTAATCCAGCATTTTCCCGCTGCCTTGACCAGGTCCTCGGTCCACCTGGTAAGTGGTCCAGGTTTTTGAGGTCCGGTACGCGGTCTCCACCTCAGAACTTTTTGCCACAACGGCCGTCAGTTCCACGAGCGAGGTGCCCAGCCCAGCCACTTCAGCTTGCCAATTCGATGGGCTATGCAGTGACTTTAGATCTCCTACGGATCTCTTCATTCCTGATTCGATCACGCAGGGTAACTATGAGCATAGCCCTTTCTATCGCCCGCTGAGCGACGCGTTGTCTGTGCACCATGCTCGCGGTAGAAGACCGTGTTTCAGTACCGTACGTCATCACTGGTAACACAAACTACTGGAGCACTTTAGTTTTGAGGTATACAAAACGAAAAGACTGTGTCTCTTCGTGGACATGATTAACTCAATCTCGCTTTTTTGTCCTACACGGGGCTCATCCAGGTTTGCGGCTGCTTTTGGTAGAAGGAATTCATCATGTAAAGGCTTTCCTTCTCCAAAAATTCGGCCAGTCTCTGTCCCGTAAGATTTCTGTGCCCATAGCCCAAGTTCACACTCTCAACTCATCTTTGCCTCTCATCCATAACTTTGCGTTGAAGTCCCCCATCACAACAGTGAAGTCTGTTTTCGAAGAATGCATGGCTCTACTTATGTCCTCATACATAATTTCTACTTCATCATCCGAGTGCGTCGAGGTCGGGGCGTATACCTGAATGACCTTCAGCGAATATCTCTGAGGTATTCTGAGTATAAGATACGCCACCCTGTTTGATACACTTTCGACCACCTCTATGTTTTTGACAAGGGACCTGTGGACGATGAATCTGACACCGCATTGGGACTGCTGTCCTCCCTCTCGGTACAAGAACATGTTGCCGGATGCTAAGGTTATCGTGTCCTCACCTTCATCATCGGCTATTATCCCTTTGTCGCCTCTTACGACACCCACGCGAGGATATGGGAAAGTGCTTTTCTCAATCCGGCACCATTCGGAAAACGCAGTGGTTCGTTACGTGACGGAATTTCGCTATTCCACCACCCACTTAATGTCCAGTTTTAAATTATATGTTTCAGAATGAAACATACGAATATAATATGATATATAAATTATAAATAATAAACTGATTGTTAAAAACATGTCGGGAATAGAAACTACGCCACAACGATGAGCGGGTTAAAAAGATTATTATAATACAATATAAATGTAAAAATCATGTCATTCATTTGATAGGATAAAAGTAATACTAAGATTTGGGATATACAACTTCGTGAACAGAAATTTATAGGCAAGCTTACTCATTACAGTACCAAGTAAGAAGTACCTATAAATTCCCCGACTTGCAGGCAGTGACAAGGAGCCGTAAGTTCTAGAAACATGAATGAGTGAATTTTACGTTCGTCTCTACAAAATAAGACAAATTAGGCAAATACTATCACAGCATAATATTCATTCACAAAATATTAATTCAACGATGCACAAATAATTATAAAAAGCAGACTGACTTTCTAAGATCAATAAAGCGGAGGTAGATTTAATTCAAATTTAAAAAACCCAAACACGATAGAAGTAAAAGTACTTTAAAATGATCTCTTTCATCGATATTATAATAAATTCGCTATCACATTTCACGTATCTTATTCTAGTTAATGCGCAGTATGATAAAAAAGCTTTTACACATCTAATATAAGTCTTATGTGTCTACTGAGATCTAAATATAAGATTATGGCAATTCAACTTCAAATAGTGTAGGGTCGCCCAGTATCACAAATTTAGTGCATCCTACTAATAATTTTACTATTGATTATTATTTTACGAATGGTATTCTAGAGATATCTATCTTTATATACACGAGTCTTATCTCTGATAACGTACCAACGCCTGATACAAAATTAATAAAAAACAAATCTATATACTTCACTAAATTATATCAACCTAAGACATTAATAATTTACATAGAAAGGCTGATGAAACACATCATTAGTCAATTGATATGCAAAACATATTCTGAAGATTGTAATAAAAAATTATTTACATTCATTCACCATATAAGTGAAAAGATCAAAAAGGAAAAAGCAAGATAATCTGACAAGATCATGTCAAGACTATAGAATAGTAATCTCGTCCCTATAATTAGGTGCGTCTATCTACATTTAGTCTAACATTAAGGTGCAGACAGTCTCTTACAGCCGGGGCCGAGGTACGTTATCGAATTGACATTCTACAATAATTGTTCGGTGTTCGCGTTTTGTGTGAACATAAGCGAAATGCACGGCACGTACGGATGTGCGGGCATAATGCCATCTTGCCACCGTCACGAGTAGTCGAGGCCCTGCATTCCGCTAACCGCATTCTATTGCAAGTAATTCACGTTTACATTTAAATTTTGATTGGTCACTTGGACCTGGAAGTCCAAAGGTCGCGGGTCAATAAAGCCTACGGGCATGGGGTGCGGGGGACATATCAACGCCATCTGCTGGTCCGGCTGCGGCATCTCTTCTTTTGTCTGTATCGGTGGCGGGGTTGAATTCTCTCGCTTGATCCTACTCTTGATGCTCGGCCTGTTATTCGGGTAGCCTTTCTTCTTATATTCGAGCCAGAGTGTCCTGTTATTAACGCCGAATAATCTCGCCGCTTTACAAAAACCAATTCCACCGATTCGAACCGCCTCTAATGCACGTTGGAAATTTTCCGCTGCTTGAGGGTTAGTGGTGCGTCGTCTTTTTGGCTGATGTTGCATTGACATATCGTGAGACGATTGGGTTTCAGCTGCGCAACTGGGACCAGGCGAAGGGCCAGTTACACCTAAATTTTGTCCATAATCACCGATATCATGGTCAGATGTGTTCATTACATTGTTGATATACATTCCTGGGTCCGGTTGCAGTGCTCCTCCACCGATACAGGCGTTTGAGTATCGAGGATATGGATGTTCAATCATGCTCCACTGCCCCCCTGGGAAGAGAGATTAATGATATCGTAAAATACAATTTAAATAAAGAGAAAAAATTTAGACTTAAGTAATAATATTCATTTATCTCCCTTCCCTAGAAAATAGAAAACTAATTGTGACCCGAATAGTTTAGAGATATTAAAACAAGGATATTACTTATTCTAGATGGTTAATGTATGGAAAAATACAATTTGAATAATGAACGAAAAAAATATTCCAGGGTAGTGGAGTAAATGTTTTAAGCAATGAATTAGTATGGACAATGAGAGTAAAACTTTTTGCAACTTACCTGGAGGAAGGCCGACAGTGTTGTCCATTGCAATTGAATCCATATTGAGATTATTGCCATCATCAGCCTGAAAATAAAATAATTACTTAAATTTGGAAGAACTTTCAACAATCTTGTAAAAACAGATTGTTGAAAGGTCTATCTATTTATAAAAATACATTATTACATAATACATTAAATTTAAAATTAATGTATCGGTAAATCATAATTTTCAATTTATTTATATTTTACTTTAAAGGAAGAAATGCTTTACTGTATAAATTCTGTTTTTGGTTTATACAAAAAAAAGATATTGTTTAGATAGGCCTTATACAACAAAGAGCTTTTGTCACCTGTTCAATAATGTCCAAGTTTTCATACTCTCGGATGCGCCTCTGTGGCTGAACATTACTGACTGTGATGGTATCGCTGGACACATTATCAGGTAAATTTTGACCATAGTCGTTACTCCTGTTCTCATCATGAACCACAACATTCGGAGACCCTGATGAACTTTTTCTGCGCCTGGAACAAATATCCAATAAATAATACAGTATACATTTACAATTTCTCCATGTGCCTGTTTGACTTAGTTAGAGGTAAGGAATCAACTGAAACACAGCAGCTCATTGGTCTAATGGCAGCAATGACTGGCTAATGTCGTGGTTTCAATCCCCACCAGGACCAACATGCTTCTAATTTTTTAAATTTATAATGTTCTGAAACATGTTGGACTTTGTCTAGAAATCTGGATATTAAATAGAAAAATAGTAGAAGTATGGAAATTCCGTCAGTCTGTGGATTTCCAAATATTACACGCAAAAATCACCTATCATCGAGTGAGCAGCATGCTTGTCCTCTTCTATCATAAAAAATATATATATTTTGAATCTCCAAGCTATTTTAAATAAGATCCACAAAGGAAAACGTATAAAGTATAAAAACCTTTTTCTTCTACTACAGGGTGATGAGGCTGGAGTATTGGAGTTGACTGTTTCTGGAAGTTCACCAGTTGGAAAATCTGCAGACGTCTGTCTTGTTAATGTGTCTGGCATCTCTGTGAGTCCTTTGATTTTCAGCATTTTCGCCGTATTAAATACCTACAAGCAACAGTACTTTTACATCTTGTCCGTAGATCATAAGGTAGAGGACTATAGTATCTTTAATAGTCGAAGCTTTCAAAACACTAATATGACATTTACATCTTATATTACATAAGTTTATCCATGTAGAGGTATGGATAATTCCAAGAACTTTGTCAATAGAAAAAATGTTTTCCATAAACAATATTAACTGTTTATAAGTCAAACAAAAACAAAAATAATTTACCCGTGGTAATTGTTCTTCTGTGACATTTACTTCACCATAATACATAAAGTCTACCATAGTGCGAAGGTCGGAGAATGTTACATCTTTTAGTATTACAATCGGATGCTGAGATGGATTATCCACAAAGAGACTCTGAAACAATATATACAAATTAAGACATATCTGAAAACAAATTTTTATGGATGGAAATCTCTAATGTGTTCATAAGGCAAAAAAAAACAGTTGTGTGAAAGTTAAAATTATGTAGAAGTCTTTCTACCATATACACTATTTGTAGTTTTCTAACCTGAAAATAAGTGCTGCATGCAGACAAAACCACTTTGTGAGCTTGAAGTTGCTGGCCATCTGCAGCGAGGGTCACATCAACTAATGTCTTTGTGTTCAGTAGCGTTGTGAACATAGATATAAAATTCGGCTGGTGATTATTCCATCTTAAGCTGTACTGTTGTGTCATGTTGATTCACTACAAAAAAAATGAAATTATCGTACCAAACATTATATTAGCTTATTGAAGTGTATAAGCAAATTATTATATAGATCACTGGAGTATTTTTATAGTTGTGTTTTATATTTTGTCAAATTAGATACTTAGAATTATATATACAAAATAAAACATGTTTGTGTTTAACAATGTGTTACACCCAAGAAGATTTAGCACAGTATCAAACAATTTCGCATAGCACATATCAATATCAATTAATATAAAATTTAAGGAGAGTGCAACCCAATTTTGACTTGTTTGAGATACATAGTATATATATTATAAATAAACACCATTCAAGCATGTTATTATTTAAATAAAACGTAATGTATTCTTCACAAGATAAAGTGTAGCATTCACAATGTTAACAACACCAACCAAATAGTTCCTTGCTACAAATTTCGAGTTATTAATATACTGTCAATAATAGTAGAATATAAAGATTAAAAAGGAAATTTTCGCTTAAGCCTTTTTGAATTAAGAACCAGCGTATTATGCAAAGTAAATACAAGACTATCAATAACTTAGCGTTGTGTTCGCGCCTCATTATGCATTATACGTCAGTTTTTGATTCCACTAAGATTTCAAGATAAAACCAAATGTTTTCAAAGGAACGCGAAGATAAAATACGCTACGCACTTATAATTATGCTTAACAAAATGAGATTTACAAAAAAAACACGAACGCTAAGGCCACCCCGGACAAATGACATCAATCAATAACAATGCCGATTACAAAATGTGTTTGTTTATCCTTATATGAATAATACTTACATGAAAAGACTTTTTCCAAAAATAAAACGATATAACACCGATTTACACTTAAAATACTTAACAAACTTTATTAAAATAAAATCCATCAACCCACGCCAACAATAGCTACCAAAAACCCACGCCAACGGCCAAACAGTATTGCCATCGTACATAGAGTCAGTCAATTATAGTGTCGAACTCAATACTCCAGTTTCCTTTATATAAATTTAGATATGCATGGTGAAAAAAAAACATATAAAAATTAATTACTATTATTTGAAATGATTTTTTATTTGATTTTTTCGACATAAGAAAAATAAATTAGTGCTAATTATAATGCAAAGGGAGTTTAAAGATTAATGTAGAAAAAATAACAAGCTTCTAGATAGTTTCAATATTATAACAAAAATAAATATTAGAAACTGCAAGGACGTTTTCAAATATATTATATCTTTGCACTTTAAAATAAAAGAAACTGAGGCAACATTATTGTTGCCAATGCTGCCATTGCTTTCATAAAGTTTTTTTTGCCAAGTTCTTTTAATGAGGTCTTGTAAAATTTGGACTTAAAGTTCATGACATAGTACCATGGATGTATGGCATACAGTCTTGTTTAACATAAGGCAATGGGCTCCTGCCATAAACTTTAGTATTATAAGCCGACCGCCGAATGATCTATTACTACAGGTAGTGAATTATCTATTTTATTTATCTAGACTTTTCTTCTTCCCTAGTAATGGAGGAAAATCGTGCCCTGGCAATATTCAACAAGTCAATTGCCAGGAAGTGTTAAATAGTGAATGAAGATAACCGATTGGCGAATGAATCAATCATAGTGACTGATTTAAATCGGTCCCGTTGTCTGCGATCTGCGCTTCGGTAAACAGAAACATCAAACATACGTAATTTTTTTCGAAGCAGAGGTGCCTGTTTGGTTGGTTTATTTATAGTTATAAAAATAACTAATACGTACATAATAATGTGAGTACATAGATCTTTTTGCTATTACCATTGGAATATTTTTTATCATTACGTTTCCAGTTAGTGTTTACTTTAAAAATATTTTTTTAGCAATATCTACTGTTATCCTTTCTTTATTTTATTTCAACCGACTTGCATAAATATTACATTTATTAGCTTTACAAAACTCTGTTGGGGTTGAAATTGCAGAACGACCTTCACTAGTAAGGAAGGTCAGAACACTGTTTATATAATTTTGGTTCTTTTATCCACGAAGTGTTTGCGTGATTATGTCCTGTATTAAATGTTATTATTCGTTCATTGTCCCCAATCTCCATTCGCATAAATGAGGCGTTGTTTACTTCCTTTTCAAAGTTGTTTTGCAAATCAAACGGTGTAATCTTTGTTATTGATTGTTGGAAAAATAAATAATATTATACAAAGGTACTTTACTAGTAACAGTAGAATTACTTAAGGTAATATTTGTGTTTTACTATAGTATTTTACGATTTAGTTATTTTACTTAAAGGGAGAATTTAAATGTTTATCTTTGTATTCATAACAATTACAACAGTTGTTATAATTATCTTAAACCTATCATTGTTCCTATGTATTTAAATTTATCATTTTAACATTATGTTATAGTTTGTTGATCTTATAGCTTTTGTCTTTAATTAAATTTGTCTACATAATTTTTAATTACTTTGAATATTACTATCTTATCGTAATTACTGTCCTCATTGTAAGGAATATGACAAAATTGGTGGTTAAAGGCTTATCAATCAAATATAATGTACCTTATATTGATACTTGTTAGTCACAAACATGTATTTTAACCATTGTGACTATTAAAACATATTGTTTCAGTAATAAGAGCAATGAGTAAGCTGTGCAGGCAAGTATCGATAGAGTCTCCGGGGCCGGCCCTAAAGGAGTGTGTCTTCAGTTTTGATGTACCAGTCCCCGATGTTCCTATGTATGGAGCGAGAATTAGGGTTGTATACGCTGGAGCATGCTATAGGGCCCATCGTACCCGGTCAGCATCAGTATGTAGTACATCATCTGTATCATCTATTGGAAGCCTCTCCGGAGAGTTAGAGAGCTGTGGTTTTCATTCATCAACACCATCTCACATCGGTTTTCGCGATGGAGCACTGTTCCCTGGATACGAGGTAGCTGGTGTTGTCGACGCCATCGGTAAAGCTGCCGAAACCGATGGAATAAGCGAGGGAGCTAGAATCGTGCTCTATCCTTACGAGGGGGTACCGCATGGCTATGCAGACTATATCGTAGTGCCAGACTTCAAATGCCTTGTTCCCGTGCCAGACAATTTGCCATTGAGCATCGCTGCAATGCTACCGACTGGTGCATTACTCGCAACGAATACTGTGTACACGGCTTTAGAGAGTCTGAATAAAATCCTAGAGGGTCCCAACAAGAAAGATAAGACGACAGTTCTAATTGTAGGGACTGGTGGATTAGCCTTGTGGGCTCTACGGATAGCGTCTCATTTCTTCAAACAGAGCCCACATCACGATAAAATTAATATATCCGTCGCGACAATCAAAGACGAAGGATTTGTCCTAGCGAAGGAGAGCGAAGAGTAAGTGTTCATAGATTTGGAAAGTGGATGGGGAAATTTGAAAAAATGTTTTTTTTTATATATTGTTTTGTTTCCAGGGTAAAGGTAGTGCAATGGTCTGAAGATTTATACGAACGCCAGTTGATAGAGCGTACGACTGATGCATGTGGTGGCCCTGTTGATATAGTACTTAATTTCGGAACTACGTCTCGATCTTTACATCGATCACTTCAGTGTCTTGCACCAGTAAGTCCTAGGGAATAAAATTAAATATAAGATATAAATAAGACGCGGAAACGGCCGTGGTCACGGGTAGACCACGGCTGCTGCAAAGCATCCGAAATGTCGGGCCGTAGTTAAAATAATTTTTAAATAAGTTAAACTAATATATGTCGCGTTTTAAACCGTTAAGGTGTCTTATTTAGGCGTGTACTACACGCGTAGACAGTATTTAAAAATAAGATTGTCTATTACATCTACTTACCTTATATTTACTACTATTTAATGCTATCATTTTATTTAAAATATAGTTAAAAAGTAATAATACTTCGAAAATTAAGAAAGTTACTTATATATAATTATACTATAAGACAATGGCTTTCGATTGTACATTGATATTTTTTTTAGGGTGGAATGGTCCTCGTTACTGAGGACGTTGGAGAGAAATTATTGCCGAAATTTGCCAAAAAGGCGGAAGATATGAACGTCAGTATCGTAGTTGTACCCAATGGAACTATTGAACAGCTGAGGGAATTAGTTCAATTGGTTGCCAAGGGAGAGGTGAGTAATGCGTCTTTTCGCTCGGTAAAAAAACAAACAACTAAACATTGCTTTTTTACTCTTTATGCCGTTGTTTGTTTTTTATGAAGACCATAAATCTCTTTATCTTTCGTGTTTCTGATAACAGCTGCGCTTCACTTGACCAACACATTTCTTTTGTTTTCCAAAGATAAAATATCATAAAGACTGCTTGTGACACAAATGTTTATTTTTATACAATGTACACATGTTACAATTAATGAAAACTTATCATTGCAAAAACAAAACACCCAAGTATTATGAAACTAAAGTTCGCGAACTTCCAGCTAATCAAAAAATGTTCTGTTATTCTATCGGTTCAATATGAAGATAAGGTTTATCTACTGATATAAATGTGTTCATTAGTTTTGAAAAACGTAATTAAGATTTCGAGTATTTTATCTTTATTTATTTTTAATGTTTATTTAAAGTAAATCTTGTTCAGATGTTATTTGCCTTCATACTCATGCTTGTCTGTAGTCTGTACGCCCTACTCCGTCACAAAATAAATATTTCAACATTATCCATGTTCCCCTTGCATAAATTCATAGATAGTATATAGACTAATTGTTCAATACTTCGTGCCTATAGATTGAACCTCCACCACATTCAGTTTTCCCCGCCGAAGAAGCGCAAGAAGTGGTGCGAAAACTTTGTAATTCCGAGATACAGGGAAGAGCCATTTTGAAATTCCACAACATTGATTAGAAGTAGCTTTAATGAATGCAATGTATGTTCATAAAACAAAGTCAATTTATTTGACCTACATTGTGAAGACTAAATTTGATGTTATAGAGAAGGTAAAATTTTACACATTAAGATCTCGATAGTATCTTTAAAATTGTTTATTGTCAATATTGTAGTTTGCATAAAAATGTGATTATCTGATTACGTAGATCAGTGTAAGTATTATATAATGTAGGTTATATGGCGTTATATTTTTGACGTGTATACATTTAGCTTTTAAATTTAACCATGCTTTTTAAACGTGGAAAGTTTTTTCACATTAATGCCTATTAGGTTAGTTTAGGTTTAGCTTTGAATCTTAGTTTCGTATCCTAATTTTTCAGGGTCCCACGTAATATGCACAATCTCTTTAAGATAGCGTTCGTTGTTTTGCTATTAAACATTGTAATTAGTTTCAAATGCTTTGTCTACGTAATAAGTACGTACTACAAATTGACTAATGTGTTTACATTCGTGCTTAACTGATATCGAGTTAAAAATAGAACCTGTATTATATAAGGACATTTTATTGTAGTGCGAGGTAACAATCTCTAACGAGACTAAATAAGAAATGATTATTTAAAGTTATAAGTTTAATCATTTGTATTGTAGAGACAGTAATTAAACAATTCACGTCTTTCACGTCAATTATTTTTATATAACAGTATAATCTCGTAGTTTTGATATGGTGTTTTGCAGGATTTTAGATGGATTTTATTTTTAGATTCACACAACTCTCTTGTACACAAAGTATTTTTTAAATGTCTAGTCATATAAAATTGTGTGAAAAATCTGTATTACCAAAATTATCAAGGTACACAAATCGTTTATATATTCATTTATAAGTCGAAATAAGTTTCAGTCACAATTCTGTTACAGGAAACCAAAATGTATTTTGTTAATGGATTTTAGAATAAAGATATTTGTTATAAACACCAGAGTCTTTTAAATGAATGAATTAAACTAATACATTTTTGTTAGTTTATGTATATAAATAAGAAGCTCTTAAAATAATTAACCGATTTTAATGACCGATGTGCAAACGATTAGAAATGATTTAGCACAGGGTCTAAATTAAACATGCATATAATCAACAGGAGTATTGACTAAAAAACCTATCCATGAGCAAAAATCATAATCTTAAATAAAAAAATGGTTATAATACAAAAATCGAAACTTTTAATCGTTACATTAATTCCCCGTTATCTTGCCCACGCGCTATTTAATATTGATTGTTGTGGTTGACGGCTCTCAGTTCTTTGAATAGGTAGAAGGATTTTAATTTCTTCAAGTCGTGCAGTGGTGGGGCCGTTGTTACCGCGCGATGTTTGGTTCCCCATATATCTATTACAGATCTTATCTCTTCATGGGTCCCGGCGTGCAGTATAATGAGTACAGAGGAAGTACCGATGCCACCTTTTTTTATAGATGCGCTTGCGCCACACGTTTTGATCGCTACATTGTCTACGTGGATATAGTTGATGGTGTGACCGGGGAAGTAGTTCTCGTATACGTACACTTGACCTTCGTTGATCGTCACGGGTCGATTCTCGACAACCGCTGAATCCATGTGGCTGAGGCCCTGATGCCAGTCGCCAATCTCTAGAGGCATCTTAGCTTTTCCACAGAACAGCCTCGCACCCACCTGGCTGGCTGTCAAGAGTAAAAACAGCGTTGTGCGATCCATTTACTAAACACTGAAATGTGTTTTCCTAACACTTGTTAGCAATTTCATTGTTTAAGAACAATGAAAAGATTCGTCTTTGATGAATAAAAAAAAACAGACGAACTATTGTAATAGTAATAAAAAATTGTTCTTTGAATACTTCGTTAATTTAGGAAACGATAGGATCATTTATTGATCTCGTATATAGAGGTAAATAATGATTTGGGAATGTTTATAATTATATGGATGTTTTAGTGAATGTCTAAAATATAATGCATGCTATCGTGGTCTAGGTAAAGTGTTTTACGTAATTTTTAGAGTTTTGGTAAACGCAGAATCCTATTAATAAGACAAACACGGGGTTCTCTTGTTGAAAAACAAAATGTGCTGTCGACTTGTTTTGGCTCAGAAAATTCGGAAATCCATATACCGAAACCGAAACGCGATTAAACTTGGCGGCTCACAATCATCATCATCTGCGGACGGTGGTTCGTGCTCCTGACCGAACTTCGATATTCCTACCACAAATTATAAATGTATTGAAAACATGTTGGGCCCCGTGGGGATCGAATCCACGACCGCTAATTATTAGCCATAGATTGCCACCATTACACCAACGAGCCCATCGAATCTGGGTGTGTCTCCAGAACCGTGATGGCTTCAGAGTTGTATATTTAAGTAAGCTTACATACAACGAACGCAAATAATAGGTAGGCTTAAACTGAAGAGAATATAATATGAAATGTTTATACCTACTTTTGTTTACGTAGGTCATGGAATGGGACTCTACAAGTCCGTTTCATTAAGGAAATAATCGGTATGTAAAATAAAAAAACCAGTAACGTACGATAATATATTTTACACGTAATATCACCTTTACTATTAATACAAATAAAATAGTATCCATTTCCACAACGAAAAGTGAATTACAATTTACACGCCCGCCATATTAGACTATAGGTACTAATCATTTTAAATTGAGAGTTCCATAAGACTAAGTATTCGAGGTGAGAGAGACAGGAAAGAAAGGTTTAGACCAAAAAAACAACTCAAACAAAAAGTTCGTCGTCAAGCTCTTTGTCTATAATAGAATGATTTGTATATAGAACCACGGACTGCCTTCCTGTACAATGCAAAGCTAATGCTTCATGCTATTTCAAGCTATTATTACGATAGTTAAGCATAGAATAAAGCAGTAACGATCTCATTGTTAACGTATTTATCTAATTTTGTGTGCCTTTCGACAATATTCTTTCAACAAAAATGAAACGAAATTTACTATCACTTTATTTCATCCATATACCTTTATATAATCTCTTAGAAAATACAAAAGCTATACAATTTCTTTAGTCAATAGTCAAGATGGAATTACAAACAAATACAAAGAATTGATCGAAATATTTTACAAACAAGGAATATATGTCATAATCTAAAGTAGATTGAGGTTGTTGAAGATAGGCCAGCGACATTTTGCATACTGCAAATTTGTTGAAACATATAAGAATAAATTTTAAGAAACAATTAATTAATTACAACCGCCGATAACAACCTAATAACACAACACATATCCATTATACATGCCCTTCAATATGTAAACATATGTTATATAAGAAACCACCTAAGTTATACAATACTTTCCATTTAGGACGGATATCTATACGGTCTTACGGAACTCAAAGGCACTCTTATATAAATTGAATGGCTTGGAACGAAACGTCCTTTAAAAGCATAGAAAAGTTATAAGTAGAATGATGAGCAACACTTATAACTACAGTTCTAGAGAAACCGAGTTCAATATATGGAATAGTTGCACAGTACATTACGTTGTTATAATATATATATGTTTATATATTCTAGTTATGTTTCGCCACTCAAATCCTTGTCGTGCTTATATGGAAGTATTTGAGTGAATAATTACATTACTATTTCTAACTTAAATTAATATAAAGAGATTTGTTAATATCATTCGAAATTTAAGTAAAACGCTCGTAAAATTTAGGAATAAGTTTTTAAGCAACCGATATACTAAGGCACATCATATACGGACGAGATAGTGCAATACAGTGACAGCGGTCAACAATTTTGGTAAACAGCATTTTAGTCGATACATATAACGAGTGAATTGGTGTCTGTACTATCAAATCATTGCGATAGCGTCTTTGTTTATTGTGTATATTTAAACAGATTTCACATCATCAAAAATACACCAGAATTCGCGGGCATTATCTAGTACAAAAAGTGGTTACGTATTTCATATTCAGTAATAGAATATATAATTTCATATCTTTATTGTTTAGTGCGATAATTTTGAACGCGTGTCAATATATCTATGTATTTGATAGTCACACGGACCCAATTTTACTAAGATATAGCAACATTGGTTAAAGTTAACCGTTAGTTAACGTGAAGGTTTTCTACCGGTAAGATTAATAATGCCATTATTTGTCAGTAAAATTAGATCGTTGTAAAACACTAACGAATAATAAGCCTAAATACGCGTAAAACGTATTCCAATAATTAACTATCGTTAGATTTTATCTACTTACTAATGCGATAAAAGTGCGTTATAAAGCGATTTCAAATGTTTTTTTTTTATTTTTTTAGTTGAATCAACGTAATATGTGATTATATAAGAAGAAATAATGCAAAATATTAACTTAAATAAGTACACTGAGATTATTTCCCATAGTTACACTTTCATATAGTCATATAATGAATTTTCTTTGTATATTTTTAGGGAGTATATAATTTTATAGTACATATTTCACTATCAGATGTAAATAACATTTGGTCCCCGAATGTAATTCATGAACAAGTTGTCTGATAGACAATTACGATAGATAAACAGCTGCGCGTGGCTTTTACAATTAAAGCTAAATTTACATTTATTTTTATATGCTTAGTGTAAAATTTTGCATAAAAGCTGCAAGTGTACAAACCCCTTAAGATTTAAAGTTATAATTGAATGTGTAAATCACAACACTAATTAATATATAAACATTTGAAAACCTACATATCATTGTTCCCAATTCTGACGCTCTCTAAATAGTAGATCTCAAAAGAATGCTAGAAATTTAACTATAAAAATTGTATGTTTGCTTATACCAAGAGAAGATATAAATATCTCCATTTTACTACGCAAACTAAGTACTTTTAGCAGCATTTAAGCATACAAAAGAGTAACAGCGGAGTACTCCATTAATACTTGTGTGTAACCGTTCAAGACCAAAATTCAAATTTAGAAGAGAATTTGAGATTCAAATTTATCATGGTAAAGTGTCAGCGAGTTTCTTGCCAGTTCGCGTTATCTCCAACGTTTTATAAAGAAGTGTTAAGCTACCTTTAAAGATTATTCCATTTTCAACTGTGGTTCAGCACCCAATGAATGAGATATGCCTCGTGTCCGCGGCATGTCTAGGGTTCCCAACTCCAAGAAATAATTTGCTAATAATGTCCTGTCGAAGTGCGGTGACGTTTTGATGAAGGTAAGACACTTTTCGAGAGTTGGCAACCCTAGCAACACAATGGCAACTTACAAAAGTGATAACTGCACGTATTAGTTTACATGTGTATCGTGGCCGCTGTATAACGGGCTTCGCCGCGTCGCCAACTCCACTGCGAGGGACGATACTAGAAAAAAAATAGAAGTAATGGTAATTAAAGGGTTACATTAGACATTAGAATCATAGTGCCAAGACAAATCGTAAAATTTTCTTATGTTCCCTTACCTTTTTCCTAATCAATGTATAATTTTTCTAAAACATTTTGTGACTTCGTCTGGAAAACTGGATGTTACATGGGTGGTAGGAATATCGAAATTCCGTCCGGGTCACAAACCACCGTTCAAAGATGAAAAACGATTCATCACGTTTCGGTTTGAACTGTAGATTTCTGAGGGATTTACGTACCCATAAGTGAAGCTTATCTATCTATCCTCCCCTATCTTAAAAAAAGGGCAATATATTTGCATTTTCAATTGTATACAGTAATTATTTAGCAGCAGTTATAACTGGTTTCTTTATTACACGATTACTTTGCTGTCTTTGAGGAAATGTCAAATGTTATAAGTCAAAACACATTAAAATTCTGTGAACAAGGAAATGTCAAGAACTTATAGAACATAGTTCTAATCAGCAATCATTAAACCATACATACGAGTACTATCAGACTCTCGAATAACTCAAATAAATCATTTTTCAGAATAACTTTGCCTGCCATTTTGGTCTAGTGTACACAATTGGAAAGCATTCGCTACAGGAATCGAAGTCGAATTGTGCAAAGTGTTAGTTCGGTATAATTTCATAAATAATTCTATTTAAGACCAGAAGTACAGTACTGTATGAAACCGTCGGTCCCAGTAACGACCACTTAGTAGCAGTTGAAATATTCTCCAGCAGTAGGATATTATTTGGTTAAAAGGTAACACGCTATACTTACTCTAATAAGTATTTGACCGCTCCTGGAAAGTGGATTCTTATACGCATATACCATCCATCCAACAAAGCTGCAAATCAATGTGACCACTACAAAGGCCGCAACAACACCGCCAATAGCGGAATGGGGTTTATTCGGCGGCACATCTGGAGTACCCTCGGTGTGCAACTTGCGGGCCGCCTCTTCTGTAATAAACATTAACAAATTGTGTAACGACTATTTCTGAAACTCTAATAACTACCTTTGTTCAGACGTAAAACTTAACAGAGATTTCTTGGTACATATAAAGCAAGGAGTCTGGAGTTTTGGAGTCGTAGCGAGCTGACAGTTTTAATGCTTTGATACTCAGCAGGGTTGGTACCAGCAGCATTTATCACACATCATAAATGGTACTTTTAACAAATTATTATGAAAGAGAAGCTTTTGTGTGTTGCTTGGCAAAGCTGAATATAGTTTTTGAGAAGCGGTTTGTTGAAGGTCTTTAGGGACAGGAAGGGAAACTACAATCATGTCATTTTAGCTCTCAATGTTTTAAAGAAGGGCAGAGAGTATTGCACCAGCATTGCCAGGGTATATTTTTAAGCTTAAGTTACGCGAATAAAGGAGGTTGGGGGTAGGCTTTCACACAAGAAGCTTAAAAGCTAAGGTATGTCTACATTCTGAGTTAGAACTTGAGCTAATATGGATAGTCTGTGGGAAAATATCTTTTAGCCTATCACCCCGAGTCTATAACAGTTTCACTAGCTCTGCATGTCCTTTCTTTATCTGTGCCTAGTTGTTCCTATTGTAAATATATTGAAATATGTCTGTTTTAATGTCCACTTTGTAAATTTTACTTGCAACTCTTATAAAGCTTTAAGTTGTTTTAAGAAAATATAGCTTAAAAAAATAATTAGTTATCAACTCTAATAATAAACCCCCGAATAAATAGACAAAGTAATCTATTTTAGATTTATAATTGGTTATAATTAAATCTATAATTCCATAAATTATTCCAAATATTAAAAATGGTAAACCGGTGATTATGTATACACGTTTGCTAAGCTCTGGTCACCAAATGGCCTGATTACATCCACCCAGGTATAAATTCTTACACTCGTAATGAGTATATTTGACGTCGAGCGCCATTGAGATTTCAAGAATTTAAATAAAAACAGTTTAAAACGCAAAACATTAGTTAGCGTATTCGACGTGAAAATGTTTTATTCAAATGTGTGCTACTCGCGAAACAGAATGCTTAAAGTTGTTAGTGACAATACATAAAATTAAAGTAAATTTCCCCATTGCAAAAAACAAAACAAATTAAATACGTGAATGATCACCCGAGCGATTATCTGTGGTGTACGCTGTGTTCACAGTATCTGAGGGTTGATGACCTATTTTTGCTGGACACGCGACTTCGTCTGTTACCGCTACCGCCTCACAATCTGTACGTAAAAAGGAAAATATTAGTAGTAGATTCACGGCAAATGTCACAACCACAAAAGGTATTTCGTCCAATATTCTGTAAGGCTTCTTCTTCTTCCTCTCGTGCCTCTTCATTACTGAACTGTTAGCTTTTGAAAACGGTCGGTGTCCTTTTTGCTTAGAACTTGAATCCTCATAATTTTAATACACGAGAACTCATGTAAAACATTAAAAATACACGAGAACTCATTAAAACATTGAAAATACACGAGAACTAAAAACATGTAAAACATTAAAAATACACGAGAACTCATGTAAAATTTTAAATTTACAATGCACGGCGGAATTCGATCCGACGACCTATATACATATGGGCAAACATTACAATAACACTTTTTATTCTGGATATCAACTTACGGTACATAATCCAGTCGTGTTTGACCTTGTCCGTTTTGCTGGAGCATTTATTGATACGGGGACACCAGGAACACTGAAAACGAAAGAAAACATTACATTATAAACATTTTTTTTTCAATCTAAATAGATTTTTTAAATTGTTAATCTCTGTAATTCCATCTTCAATGATTTTCTTAAGCTGCAAAGTATAAGACTTAGAACCTTATCATCATGGGTTACGATTCAAATTACATTGCACGAGAGGTGCTTGTATCAATGGATTGAATAAATTTTACGATGACGTGTAAGACCGTCGCGTTTTGGATGCAGGCTCAATCCCCCTTCGTCAAATCTTTTCTCTCTAAATAATTTTTAATTTTGTATTAAACTATGAATATTTATATGGTTGATTTTGGGTAAAGTAGCACCATTTTAAACAGTCCACTACTGGGAAACTGGCGTTTCTATAAGTGGTGGCACTGCGCAAAAATGGTATTTTGTAAGACTTACTAATATATCGCGTTTTAGACCGTTAAAGTGTTTTATTTAAAAAGGTACACAATAGTTATTGAATTGGTCGATAATGATTTCAGTAGTACGTTACTCCGTTATACTTACGTTAAAATGAGTGTCGTGGTTCGCGCAGCCTTCACATGTATCATATCCAAGGCAGGTGGGGAGAGCGATCAGCTTCAAGATAGTGTGATTGGCGATTTCGTAGTTCTTGAACGACATACGGTGGTACTCGTAAATAGTTTTATGCCTTACATCTAAAAAACATAGAGCTAATAAATTTGCAAATCAAATCTTCTAAGAGACGTCACGTGTTCATTCACGCGGAAGACGTGTGTGTCCGTTTGCAAATAAAAATTATATTTACAATCCAATAAATCCTCCTAGCTACCAGGGGTTCGGTTCCCAGGAAGAGATTTTCATATGTGGATGGTGGTTCGTGGCCCGGACGGAATTTCTATATTCTTATCACCAATTTGATATCGAGAGTCTTTGACGAAGTCTAACATGTTTCAGAAAAAATATGAATATGTGAGACCCGGTGGGAAACGAAGCCACGACCAGTTGATTTTTAGCCTTATATTACTACCATAAGACCAACGACTATAATGTAATGAAACCTAAGGTTGAAATTACATAATTTATTTTATTACGTAGAATATTTTGTACGGTAGCCCAATTGTTTAGAGAACCAGTTCATCATCATCATCAATCATCAATCAGACATCAATGTGAAGTCCCGCCCATATCGTATGTTCAATCTAAATAGATATTCATGCAACTTACGTAAGTATGTTTGGCCGGTGAGGTAGGCGTCACTGATGCCAACCTTAACTGGATGTTCCTTATCACTGATATTCTGTATGGGGAACGGTATGTCCTTGTATACAAATACAATATCCCCATTTTTATACATAACCACAGCGAATGTAAACGGTGAGGTTGAATTCTCTTGCAGTGTCACATTTTCCCAGAAGACAGCGAATTTTTCACCTAAAAAAAAGACCGACTTAATAAAATGCGCTGTCGACCCATTGTGGATGTGGACATTCAGAAATGCCGACTGGATTCTAAACAAGGTTTATGTCTCGATGGTGGTTCGTGTCTCAGACGGAGTTTTGATATTACCACCAATTTAATGTCCAGTATTTCTTAACTATGTTAGATTTGGTGAGCGCCTACGACCCATTGTTTATCATATTATACTATCATTTGTCCAACGAGATTGTTTTAAGAATAACGCGAATTAGACCAAATATGTGAGTATTTCTGAAACATCAAAAAATTGCTACAGGCAAGACTTGAATCCGAAACTTCCATCGGAGTAAAAGCGTAAAAGACCTGAGACATTCGATGAAGACAAACGTAAGCACGGTACATATTAATGAAGTGTTTAAGACAAGTTTTTGTCGTCTTGTATATTTGTTTTAGTCGACAGTACATATAACTAATTTTACGATAGTTATTTAAATTTTGGTTATTTAAATGCAATTTGATACAGCCATAAAATGCATATATTTGGTTCATTGTCCAATGAACAATAAGAAGTAATAATTTGCATGACTTCTATATTTTTATTATTCACGGTAATTTTACTAGTAATAAACTTAAGACACATATGGAAAACTTTGTATTAATAATTATTTACTATTATCGTTTGATTATATGTATGTCAAAAGGAGATGCTTGCCAATCTATTGCTTTGCTTAACAAATAGGCTTTATAAATATTAAATCTGATCGATATTCTGAAATTTTCGCTTCGAAGGAATTCTCTTATATTATTTATAGGGTATTTTTTCTAACTTGACAAAAGACCACACCAAATATGGTCGATTACAAACCATGGAGAACTAAAGATGACCTTTATAGAGTGAAGTTGTTGCCACAGATGCATCGACTAAATCGCGACCAAACGACCTCAAATTACAAAATAAATTTCATGAAGACCTTTTTTTTTAATTTCTTGTGCCATTATTATTTACGAGTAACTAGACGTTGGTAACGCTTTTCAGCGATCATCCATAAATAGGACTTCTACCTTCCATTGTCGTTGATTTTGCTTACATCACATCCCTATGTAAAGGTAAAATTTTAAATCTGTACATTTACGTAAATTAATTTTTAGAATATATTTAAATTAATAAATATGAATTTTACGTAGGTTTATTCATTTAATATATAATCTGGTTTAGCAAAGTTTTTCGTGTAAATCAATGTAAATCTTGGGAGAAAATCACGATTTCACGTAAATTGTGTTTATATACTTAAACATACACTATAGCAGGCATATACTTTCGTACACCGGGAAAATTTGAAGTAGAGTGAAAAGAAAATGATATAATAAAAAAAGGGAATTCAAAAAGGGAATTCTCTGATTTATAGTTTGTTTTGGAATTTACCATATTTTAGAGAACCGTTTTGTGCGTGTGTGTGGAAGTCGCATTCAAAGTGAAGTCAAAGTCAATCAATACAACTATTTAATGTATATTGATAAGGATTTTTTTGTTCAACTATGAATTAGAATTCTATGTCTTTGATGAAAATTTCATGGCTTTTCCATCGTTCCATATAATAGTTATATTAAGGTGTGGCAAAAGGGGATAAATGTCATAAAAAACGCGTAATATTATAGTTTTCTGTTATGTAATATGTTTTTTGCTCCTTGCACACGAAACACGCTTTATCCATTAAATTAATTCTTAATAAGCATTTGACATTGATAACGGAGGTAACGATTATACTATTATTACTTGTAACGCACGATTTTATTTATATTATAAGCGCTATGTTGTTGACTTTTGTGAATATGATGTATTATTATATGCAAAGTAGAATTTGAGTTCCCTTTTTAAATTTCGTAATATTTCATAAAGAGTATAATATTGCTGTCCGCGTAGAATAGTTATAGTATTTTATATATATTTTTTTGAATACTGTCTATAGTTTACGCGAGTAGTACACATTTAAATAAAATACTTTAACGGTTTAAAACGCGATTAAAGTGTTTTATATAAATATATTTTTTTGGTTTCTAGAACCGTTTTCGCAACGTACGCAACGGAAACCTACAAAGATGAATGATTTTTCCCCGTTCTCTTCACATTTCCCACTGTTACTACGCTGCTATTGGTCGCAGCGTGATGTTTTATACCCAAATCCATTCTCGATAAATGCTGTAATCAAGGCACAAAAGTCAGCAATTCCCGAGATGCGTGCGTTCAAACTAACAAACTATTTAGCATTATAATATACGATAGAAGATTGAAATTTTGCGGTTGTATATATATTTTAGATGCAAAAAAATATATATTGAAATTTGGGGTGGACAACCTTTATCACTTGTGCATGTAAAGCCAGTAAATATTTTCAGGCCTGATAAAATTTCACATAAAAATCTGTAAATCGTTTTCGTTCGTCGTAACTAACCATCGAGACATATTACAATTAGTTAAGCAACCTTACCATCGTCGTATTGTTTGACGACACTGTCGTTGCCAAGTGTTGTGTCAAAATTGGCCATAAGCGGTGCAATATATTGCGTCGCCGCAAGCCAGTTGTGGACATGTTCCCCGATATATATAAATCCACCTGTTGCTACAGTGATGTTCGTCACTGGGTTGCCGTAGAATGGAAACTCGAAGGACAGTTTTATGGTCTGAAGACAAAAATAACATTTCGTTTTTTTAATGATAGAGGACAGGGGGGTAGGGGGAGGGTATGGGGGTACTTTTAATAAAAGGTGAAAAGCCCCAGCCATATATAACCTTCACATGCACTATCGACCTATTACAGTTTCAATATTCAGAGTTCCACAGACTGAAAGCGAAATGCAATTAAACTTCACGGCATTTTAGTTACCCAGACGGAATTTTCCGATATTCCAAAAATGTAATTCAAGATGTTTCGGAAAAAAATATTAATTGGTTACAAACATGTTTCGTTCGGGGGATCGAACCCGCGACTCGTTATTTATTAGCCATATATTACTGCTATTCGACCAACGAGCCGGTAATCAAATGACACGTAAATACTCAGTTTTATAGAAAAATTGTATGGACTTTGCACATTATTCTTACGATCACAGTAAACTTCTTTGAATTATAAGGGGTCATGGTTTAGACTAAAGGTTAACACATTTAAAATATACATCTTAATATATTCCCTTTTTACTTACTGTTGCACGACGATGTGAGTTACTGAGGACATCGTGAATTTCAGCCTTTTGTTGTGTAATATTCGACCAGTATTGGTTAAAGAACTCCAAATTACCAATAAAAGTGCTATTGTAGAAGACACGGCTATCCTGTAAAGTGGAATATACAATAATAAAACCGATAAGTGCGAACCGGAATTCCGAACAAAGGGTTCCGTACCTTTGCTTGTACAGCAAATTTTTTTGCAGCAGCGAAATGATTTGTTTGTATGTGATAAATAATTTATCATAAACTCAATTATAGTTACAAAATAATGATGATACCTTTAGTAATAGAACCCAATAAACGAACACGAGAGACTTAAAAACAAGATCTCGTTTTACTCTCTGGCTATGAAACGCTGAAAAGTGGATAATTATTGTAAAATAGTTCACTTACAAATGTTACGTCAGTCAAATTTTCTTTGGCCTTGATAGTTGCCGTCGTCTCTTTGAAAACATCGCTTGTATCTGCAAAAAAAAATTGAATTCAACACATATTAAATGACGTTGTATACATATTAATTCACCTTCGCGAAATATAGATAATTTCTGCCTTACCCTACCGAAATACTTTATCGTTTTTTTCCGGGATTCGAACCGCTTGTGCTCAAAGCTGAGCTACTAGTCAGTATTGCTATGACGTTGCTAGCGTTGCATCTTATATGATATTGACTATGAATCAATAAGTTTATCGCAGTTGAACTTAGTTACAACACATTTTGCTTATATTGTGAATAAACATTCATAGTTATATTAAGGTTATCGCGAAATGTCTTTGGGATTAACAATCTAAGGTCATTAACATTCACATTTGTTTTTGAAACTATTCGCAACGCACATTAATTTAATAATCCTATTTTCATTCAGATTGAAAAAAAAAGGCAAAATCCGAAAACGAAGACAATAGTTGAAATAATTCCATAGACAATTTAGAAGACTTTTTTCCATTAAAACAACGTGTCTCTTCAATGAATAGGAGAAAATGTCAAAATAGTATCTTATACAGACTATATTATCAAATCTAGATATTACATGTGTATAGAAGCCTTGGGCGTAAATATTTTTTGTAAAATATACTGAATATAGGGGAATAAGAAATTCAGCCATAAATATACAATTAATACGTAACTAAGGGCGCCAACAAATTTAAAACATACCATCGTTAGGTGTTATAGGATCGCTCACTGTCGGTACATGGCTTGGTATCGTCACGTGTAAAATTCCAGAGTTGTTAAACCCAAGAAGGTGCGATGGATTCGCGTCCGCTGTTGTCGTTTCTGAAGGCAAAACAATTGAATGTATGTGACAAATGAAAAGCGATACATTGGACTGCATAACATTCTGCTACCAATTATTGATAGCTACAAAAAAAAATACAATTAGAGCAACACAGAAATTGACACATAATTTTGACCAAGACTGTACTCAACCTCTTATAGTTTTAAAGCTAAAAATAAACATACTTAGCTATAACACAATACAATCGACAATAATGTTATAAACAGCTTTTATTGGTTTTAAAGCTCGCATCGCACAGCATGGAACAACTAACTTCGCTTGTTTTGTACGCACCAGACAGGTAACAGGTAAAATTTTCAATCGATGCCATTTTTGACCTTGGATATCTTTTTGCTGTCTATTTGCGATAAATACGAAAGATGTAATAATGAAAATCAGCGCAACTTTCAATTAAACGCGTTGCGTTGCGTTTAGCACGAGAGATCATAGGTTCGAATCCGGAGAGGCGATGAATGAACGAAACGGACATAGAAATGTGTTCCACGTTCCACATGGACATAAGATATTATATTTGCGATTGAATCAGTACAAAAATGTGTGTGTGTCTCGTTTCACCCTCGTGGGGCATGGGGCGAACACATTGCTGTGTCCGTTTCATTGATCCGTTCTTTAAGAGGCAAGTAGTTGATCAGACGTCTGTGCCCTATACGAACGAAACACACACCAAAATGTACTCTATATAAATGACGTCACATTTTTTCATCATAAAATCCATGTAATACTTACTCTTAAATGGTTCCTAAATATTCGCAAATATCGAAATTAAATGCATTGAATCAAATATTCAGCAAAGCATTTCTGCAGCAGTAAAAGTAATTTGAACGCAACAGGAAAAGATTGAGATGCCATGTCCTTTTAAAATCACGTTCTTGGTAATAAATCGCTCTGCTTACTATTCATATAAATTCGCTTCAACATAAATATCAATAATAATAAAATCTAAATTCGACGGGCTCATTGGTTTAATAGTAGAAACTATCCACAGATGAAAAAGTTGGGAAGTTCGTGGATTTCCGAATACGAAAGACATTATAGTGGTATCCATGTATCCATACAAGCCCGATAAAGTCGTAGATTCGATTTCTATAGGTGAATTTCTGATTTTTCTAAACATGTCAGTACCAATATTTAGAAACTTCAGTTTAATTTTAGAATAAAAAAGGTCAACAGCGCATCTATAAATTTTAGTTTTTAGTGAAAAATTAAAATCAGCGTGAAGTGAGTATTGTCAGTAGTTCGCGAGTACACATTCGATAAAACACTTTTAACGGTTGAAAACGCGAAATATAGCGTTAAGAGTTACTATTACCAACTATGTTGTTTTTACATAAGTATAAATGATAGATGTACGAATTATAAAGCAAAATTACAGCTTTTTATAACTGATTATACAAATAAACATCCTTAACCATAGTAGTAATATGTACACGTAGAAACATGTCTCTATAATTTGCTGCGTGGGGAAAATATTTGTAACTCAACGATTCGATGTAACTGGATACCACAGTATGGGTGGGCTGTTCTAGGAAGCATTAATAATATCGATTGCGTTCCTTGAATTAGTGTCGATGGCGAATTTTTTAAGGCTTTAATATCAATTGACATTATAATGTACTCATGACATAATCGTAAGTACTAAAAGCGATGCACAAAATTTTGTCAACATAAGTCTTGACATATTTAATTAAATAATATATTATTTAAATAGTGTCTGTAGTTTACGCGAGTAGTACACATTTAAATAAAACACTTTAACGGTTTAAAAACGATATACTTTAGTGACCACGGCTGCTGCAAAGCATCCGAAATGTCGCGTAGTTAAAAATAATTTTCAAACAAGTTTAACTAAAATATATCGCGTTTTAATCCGTTAAAGTGTTTAATTTAAATTTGTTTTTTGTTTTAAATTTTGCCGTAATGATAATAATGTTATTTAGAATAAATGAATAATCCACCGTTAATGTATTAACACATAAATTAATCTCTCTGGCAGAAATATATCATTAATTACAACATCTGTATACATTCGTAGTCAAGTATAAAAGACACAGCTGAATAAATATACATAGGTATCACGATTGTCTTAACGTAACAAACACATTTTCGTAAATTCAAGAACATTCATGGTTTACATGAGTTGGGTAAATATACAGAATCGTGAATCACTACAAATGGAGTACGCAATATAGAATTGTTTAATAACTGGATGCGTCTCGCTGTACATTTTTACTTTTTAATTGGCTCGATATTAATATCAAATTGGTTAAACCATTTAGTAGTAAATGAGTAACAAACATATAGTATGCTCGCATCTATATGCACTTGAAGTAGAACATATTGTGTTTAATTTACGCGAGTAGTTTAAGTTATAAATATAATAGTTTATTTAGTTTAAACTACGACTCAAAGTTTTGGATGCTTTGATTAAAATGGTGGCCATCTCTAATATCATAAAGTGAGTTAATAACTAACATACTTCGGGTTTTAACGGTGAAATCGTCAAATTAGTAGGCTACAATTAAAATAAAGAACTTACTATTCGTATCGTTGGACACACTATTTGCTTTTGTAGTAGATGGTAAATTTGTGGCATCAGTGGCATTGGGAGCAGGTGCTGTTGAGTTCGTACTTGTTGTATTGGTACTGGTTGTGTTGTTCACCAATGTAGTCTCTCTCCGGTAACGCTCATGTTCCAGCAACTTTATTAATGGTCTTAATCCACTATGACCCTGTAGGCCGTTGTCAATATCATATGTGATGTGTTCTAAAACAACAAAAGTCATTAGCACTAGTTTGCCATACATAAAGCTATTAACATCTTTGTACAACATGTGACCTAATCTAACTGCAGTTGGTAGTATCTTATTTCGTTAAACTAAACTTTTAATATTAAGACAATTTAGGTACTTAAAATAATTGTTACTCATTGTTCCTTTTCCCATTCTATTAGAGCATTAATTAATACAATGTACAGGATGCCCCATTTGGGAAAACATTGCCACTAATAGTGAGGGTGTTTAATTAATTTAGATTATACAATATGATATTTAGTGTTGTACATGTTTAAGTGTTATTAGCATATTTGAAAATAAATATACTGTCATTTTAAATAAACAAAAGTCTCTAAAATATTTACATATTATTAAAAATATGGAAAAAGACCATGTTAGTAAAGTGTTCATGATAATTCTATTTTTATTATTAAAACTGGCTGATTACTCTTACAGAGAGATTATTATTTATTTAACTTGTTATTATTCTAGACACGCAACCTACCGACGTATGTCTGTACCTTGTATTTAAATACTGTACAGTACTATCATTAAGTCGGGATATTTACGACTTTGGCTAAATGCAAATACTATTTACAAGAGGAAAACGGTGTCTTTTTGCCTTTCGTTCCGGTATCACGTCACGAAAGTAGGAGACCTCGAACACCATTATTCAAGATATATAAAAATAAAGTAAAGACGAAAATTCATTACCTGTTGTAGCCGAATTAAAAGTTAGCGCGCACAAAAAGAGAATATTAAATAATTTGGCAGTCGTAACACGAAAGGATTCCATTTTCATTATGCTAACGAGTTCAACCATGAACGACAGGTTTTTCCTTTGGTTAGAACGTCATCAAGCGCCTTATAGTCAACACTAATTATCAGTAGGTTAATTCAACACAAAAAATATTTTTATGTATAATACACTATTTGACGTTATCCACGCTGGCGACCACAGAAAATAATGGCAAATAAACATAAGCAATGTAGACTCTAGGACTCTATAGGAATGTGTACTCTATGGTCAATGCTACAGACTATATACCATTTCCTAATTACGGTTAGAGAAAAAACAAGCAACAAATTACATATTTAAGGAAAAGGAAAGAAATTATTCTAGGATAAGCACCTACCACTTATATTATTGGAAAAGATAAACCGAACAGTCTTACTTTATTTGTATGGCTTATTGACAGTGACAATGTCAACCTATGCAATTACTATCTATCAGTCTGTTGACAACTCATCTGACATTTGACATTTCAATCAAAATATTCGAATCACGAGTCGAGTACCTAGGTATTTCAAGTTTGAACTTCTTTATACTGAATGGACTTAAGTTAAAAAATATTATTTTAGTAATCCTCGTCAAAATAGGACAATACGTTTATTTGAACATCGATTATGCATTTGAATGCTACAATTATATCCAGGTGACAGAAATTATATTTATTTCATGTGGCATGGCACAAAAGTTAAAGTATTAAAAGATAAATTAATAATTATTCTCGGATTATTTCAAAGACTAAAAGGGTGTATAGTAAAATAAAAAACAAAATTTAGAAATACTCTACGTGCTCTTAATATTATATGTATAAACACACTCGTAGTACAATATTACACACGACCTCATTATAGGATAATAAATGTGTGTGTTTATATAACACTGTGTTACTTTGTTTTTTTTTTTTTTGAATTGATTATTACGTATTGTGTTCCTATGGAGCCACGAACACTAACCGGACGTTTTGGGCGAGCGCGTTAGCGCTCGCCCCGTGTTTTTTTCTTTATACCGCCGCTGTTAACCTAAGTTCTTCATAACTATTTTGTGATAGCACGTTAACCTGTACCGACAGGGCACATACTGCCTTTCTCATTCTTGGGTGTAAAACGAATCAGTTTAAGGGGTCGAAAAAAAAAGAATTGAATCAAATACAGACCATAGATCTAAGTTTAGTAAAAATGATGATAAAAGACCTTTTGCGCTTAACGCAGTTCTCGGCCACATGTTAAACCATACAGAGGTGGTGAGATACTAACAACGTACACCATAAATAGTTTTGGGGTAAAATGGGTTGTTATCGATTCAACTTACTTTTTACATTAAATACCTACATTGTTATTTCATGATTTTCCTAAGACATGACGATACCTGTCAATAAGAATTTAGTCGTATTAATTGAATAGTTTTTTGTACGATATTTAAGAATGATGCACAATAACGATTTAGCGAGGTAAATAAAATTTTGTAACATGTCTTTATTTTAAAGACGTTTACTGCCTCCTTGTAGTCCAACCATATGACATCTAAATAAGATGCGCAATCGATCTATTTTGACTTTGGATATACAGAAATCTGTGACGTCTTTAACATCTGTGGACGGTGGTTCGTAACCCGAAACAAATTTCAATATTCCTACCGCACATTATTATTAATATCCCGATTTCCAAACAAAGTCTAACATTTAAAAACCGAAAATAAATTTACAAAGATTTCGACTCGGGCAAGACTTGAACCGGCATCGTCAGCGTTTTCAATGTATGTTTGATTTAAAAATCGAAATTAATTGAAAAAATTTTCGTAGCTCAATTGGTAGAGCAACAGCACGGAACGCTGACGATGCCGGTTCAAGTCCTGCCCGAGTCGAAAGTTTTTTCAATTTATTTTCGATTTTTAAATTATATAGCGCCTTCATGTGCAATAACATGTAAAGAAATAGTAAAGTTTTCGAAGTCTAACATGTATAGTAAAAAAAAAATATAAATCTATTAGTAAAATGTTGGTTCCCCATCGGTGACCAACATTATGCCGAAACGACGACCCGTTGATTAGCCATACATTGCTACTATTGCACCAACGAACCCGTCGACCGATGGTCTTGTTAATGCACTCTACCGGAGAACGCCGATTCGAAATGTTACCTCGAAGTTTGACATTTTTATTTTAAAATCGTTCTCACTAACTTAGATAGCCGTTAAGACTGTGATAGTCGTTAAGACATGTAAAGCCCAATGCAGCTGCGTGAATGGGTGTAACCTGTTCTTCTTTGGAAGATGATACCAGCGGTGCTTACGTAGGTCTTCATTATTTTGTTGGTTCGATTACCCTGGAATTAGACTTATTGGTCTTTTACAGTAATTCTCAGTAAAGGAGAAGGACCAAACAATCTGTTTCACAATTTATTATGCATAGCGCGTTACGAATTATGGTCCTCTATCATTGTTTCAGCGCATTAATGTTTTTTTACCTTTAATGCCGCCTCTGTGAGTCATCAGTTAAACGCATTGCTCTACAAAATTTTGGCGCAAGAATATCATGAAAACTAAAAGTTAGTAAAAAGATATTGACGTTGACTCAGATGTTTGTCTGCTTAATGCCCTATGTGGGGCATATAGGACACTTGTTCCTATAACGTGTTGTTTATTTAAGGTACTAAAGCCGGTTAGCATAAACCGAAAGACGGTTTCTTTACCGGTTTAATTATTGTAAAATAAAATTATAATGTAAAGAAGTTAAATAAAATAAATAAATAAATAATTTACTATTACACCATATAAAATTTTGTTTATTCTTGTTTAAGTAGTCAACTCTGTTAAATGCTGCAATTATAATACGATAGGAATTTGCAAATTATTTTTTATATACTCAGTTTTATATATTCATAGAAAATTTTCTAATAAAGTAGTGAATTGATAGAAGTTTATGATCTTGCAAGATTAAGTATTAATTAGCTGTTCCTATCGTTGTATGTATAATAAAATTATAATTTCAATAAGAAGGGAGTGAAGTGTGTGCTAAGAATTTCTCAATTTTAATGATTATAGTGCTGGCAACTGCTAGTACAGACGCTTTATAACTGCAGGACCGCCGTGCATTGCGCTCGCACCGAATCACACGCGCTCCTCCATGCCCATATCTACAACATGACGTCGTTTAACGTCATCGTGTGTGGGGCTCCTGTAGTTGTGTGGGGTTGGCTTCGGGCGAGCCGCAGCGCACGCCTCGTATCGATCCTGCGCGGCACTTTGCGCAACTTGCTACATTCACAGCTCGCCAGGGCGTCCACTCTCCCGCTCTAGTCATGCGCGAGTCTCCTCCGCTATCGCATCGACCGAACTGTGAGTTGGACTAAACGCGCGATTGCCGCTGCCGCCGCCGGGTCTGGCTCGACGTTCCTCCATGTGTGACCGGATTGCGTTCGAAAAATCGATCGGGGAAGGTGGCCGCGCGCTGGCTATGGGCTGCAGCTAATTCACCGCCGGGTGGATGAGGAGGGGCACGCTGCGAATAACTTACGTCTGTTAAACCCCACCATTCATCATAGGGCATACCATCAGGTAAGTAACTTTGCTAACAGTCGAGAGAAGTGTGCGAGATATTGCAGTATTTCGCCCCTTCCGTCAGATTCGTTTATGTAAGTGAATGTGTCGATATCTTAAAAGAGAAAGAGAGAAACAGCTTAAAGGAACGAGAGGGACTGTGTCCGTCAATATGAATGTTCTTAGAATTGGGTTTTACCGTGGTTTTACTGATCTAATATATTAGTGGAACGAGTAAATTTTGAAAATATATCAATGTTTGGAAGGTTTATTGATACGGAATGGTGTAAATTTGCTTAATTATTATTTATAATATAATTATGGCGGAGCGAATTCATTTATTTGTGTGCTAAGCGAGTGCTATCCTTTTATTCATTGTCCATTAAAATTCCGTAACGATCGTAGTTCTCGCGTCAGGATAGTGGGCCACGAAATAGATTAATTCAGACGATCTTGAAAGTACAACGAGCCACTTGAAAATGTTATTAACTGAATCTCCTTATTGCACCAAGCCATGCGAAAGAGTTGAAGAGGCCATTATGTGAAAATTAGCTTCAGAGTAAAGCTGTGAGAGGAATATTACAAAGTAGACGTCAATTTTTATTTTATAAAGAACTCATTTGAAAGGGCTCTTTATTTATGAAAGTTCCTATATAATACCATTGTATGATAATTAATTAACAGTAAAAGCCTATTTTGTCTAAACTATTAATTGAATGGAGTAAAGCCGATGAAAATTTTATTAGATATTAGCCTGGGCAACATTTACTTGTAAATAAACTGGGTCAGAAAAGACGTAGACTGTTTAGTTCGAATCAATACCTAGATATGTACTGAAATATAAGAAGCATTTCGTGTTCCTTAAGAACTATGCGGTGATATACATTCTTAGACTACGATTAGTTTATTTCGAAAATGAAGAATTTATAATGTGATGTTATTTTATATATTTATTGTCTGTTATAAATATTTAATATTTGATTCAACCTCACTTAACTTAAGTTTTATTTTCAAACGCATACTAACTCGAATTTTGTAGTATAATGAATAATTTAAGAAAAGATTTTTCTTAACGTTATGAAAGTTTCAACTTTAGTACAATATTAATTTACAGTTTATTATATAAGATAAATTAAAGTCATTAAAAACAAAATGTGTTATTAAATAAAGCACATTCGTGCTAGTAACTTTAAATTATTGTTAAAAAGTGATTTTCAGTGAAAACTTCCTTTGAAAAAAAAGGTACGTGAATGACCTAATTAAAACTTTGCGACCACCAAGTCGCAAGTATCAACTAGTAAAGCTCTTTGGAGACCACGCTATAATATATATCGCTATACTCGTAAGCCTTAGCAAAACAATATCACATACAATTAATTATATAACACACTTAATATATATAATTCTTTGTGTCAAAATGTCGGTTCCTTTGAAACGGCTCGACCGTTTTTTTAAATTAACCATGCATGTTCAATACGTTTGAATACACTACGATGAATTTATGCATTCCTAAAATTTTTATTTTATTTTTTTAATTTGTTAAGAAAAAAATAATACAACTCTAAGTTTTTCTAATATCGCCACCAACTATTTAATAAGCATTAATGCTTATTTATATTCCCACATCGCGTTACCACATTTTAAGCCAGTATTTTTATAATTTATACTAGAAATTCTCATTTGCGGTGTCAGCGAGACGTACTATATTTTTGGTGGAGTAGGCATTATTATAATAAGCAATAATTTGCTAAACTCAATAATGACTAGTCGGTCTAGTACACTCAACGATGGATCAAGTGCAAGGTTCGCATCCTAGGACAAAAAATAAATAAAAAATATTAATACTTTTAGTAAGAGCATTTTTTTATTCGAAAATAGGATATTAATATCATTTTAATGGCGGTAGTTTGGTAACCCGCACTAGAGAAGAGAGTTAAGTTTCGTCCCCTTCTTAATATGTACATTATAGTGATGGCGCGCGATGTTATTGTGAACTATATTATGGTACGTAGTCTGAAAGGTGCCTAAAGAGCAAACAAAATATAGCAAACGCTCCATGGTCGTCGCACGCCCACTGTCCTTGCACTACTTTTCAATATTTCCATAGCCTTCCACCTGACATGCATTAGACTTTCACACAATCACTGCATTTTTGATTTGCGTTTTAAACATCCTTTTCTAATTGCAAGTTTTCCATAAGGGTACCAATTTTGAAAACTATAATATTAAATTGTGTAAGGCTTTCACGGCCATCGTTCAGCATATCATTGTTTTTCGGGCAGTAAGGCCGACGTCGCCATCACAAGCGGACGGCATCATCAGGAAATGTTAGTTCCTCGATTGCTCGAAGAATTCAATTCTGCGGCGAAACGTCGAGAACTTCGTTTCGCTTACGTCGGCCTAACAGCACGATAAACATTGATATACTTTAATATTAATTATAAATTGAAAAAAAATAAGACAACAGGACTTGAACCGGGATCCACAACATTTCGTGCTGTTGCCTTACAAGTCTTCAAACTTTGATATTTTTCACATGTTATTACACATGATAGCACTATATAAATTAAAAAGCGTGAGGTGCATGTATCTATAGGTTGATAAAATTCGACGACGACGTGTAGGACACGGTAGCTCAATCGGTTAGAGCAACAGCACGGAACGCTGTGGTTGCCGCTTCAAGTGTCGTTAATTTTTGGGATCCTTAATCGATGTTTAATGTATATAGGGTACAATTTACTATATCAAAAAACAACGCCAAAAGGCCTAAAGTAAACAACTTTTGTTATCATTTATTTAAGATTTTTATTGTATTATTATATGATACTCGTTCCCATTCGTATAATTTATTCAAAATCTTAAAATTATTGAAGGTGTCGTCGGACTATCCCATTAATAAAACTTATCTTATGTCTTATTCTTTTTTTAATGATAGAGGAGTACAGACAAACATGGCATTCACTTCATCAAAGGTGAAATACCCTAGCCATATAACATCTACACAAGATGTGCTATCGACTTATTTTGGCTTTGGATATTCTAATTAACAAAAAAGTCGTCAGGTTATGGCTACAGAAACTAGAATAAATGACAATCATTGATACCTGCGTGTTGTCATCATCAAACATTAGCTGTGTCAGCGACTTCGTCCGCGTAGAATAGTTATTTTGGACATCCAAATTTGTTTTTGCAAACCTCTACATCTTTATAAATTTTAGCTGCCCACGACATCATTCGGGTCCCGACGTTCTTGTAAGTTAATCTTAAAAGATGCGTACATACAATACATATTTTTTGAGTGTCTTGGACCGATTTCGCCGCGTATACGTAGGAAACCATAGAGATGAAAAACTTTGTTCGTTTTGTTCACATTTCCCGCTGTATCTTCGGTTCTATTAGTCACAGCGCAATGTTTTATAGCCAATTAAACGTAGTTTCTGAGATTAGCGCGTTCAAACAAACAAACTCTTCAGCTTTATAAATAGTATAGATAAAAGGTGTGGTAAAATTTTACGAGTTTTAACTCTTTCAGGAGCGTAACATGTTTAGTCTCAAATATGTGACTTAGTACTTTAGCTACTTTGGGTGTAAAGTAAGAGAATATCACTAGAAAAACATAGCAGAGTTCCTATAATTTCATACGTTTTTTGACATTAATTAAAAAAAATATCGATTCAATAGAGGTAAAGAGTTAACCACCTTAATTCGTATAAAAAGTAAACTGCTTTAAATCCCGTCGAAATTGATTTTTGTTTTTGGAAATTATATTATTATAATGCATATTATAGACACTATAGTATAACACATACTTGATCTATACATATGTCTAGTAACATAGTATATTTTCAACATTGTTCCAACATTGTCAGTTTTTGTATACTTCAAATTGTAAATAATTATTATACACTAGCTTACTTCGTCCGCCTGGAACAGTGACTTGGGGTAGAATTTTTAATTATTTAGGCTGTTTATTAATTTATGTAAGGACACATTTAAGGCAGCCAATCTATGTTCGAAGCGCTACTTTGTCGCAACTCTCTCACCTCATTCTTACACTCACTCCCACTCCTATTCCCAAAAAGCCAAAGAAGAAAGATTCATTGTTCTAGCTTCAAAAACCACGAATTCCCATACTAACTTTTATCCCCCTTTTAACTCTTTTTTGGCCTTAAAAAGTGTCTAAGAAAGCCTGTGTCCTTTCTTAGCCTCTAAAATATCTGTGTACTAAATTTCATTTAAATCAGTTCAGTAGTTTCGGAGTTAAAGCCGGACAGACAGAGTTACTTTCGGATTTATAATATTAGTATAGATTTTAACTACAACACGACGTTTCGGATGGTTCCCCGTGACCACGGCTGCTGCAAATTGTAGATAGATTAATGTAAAAATGGATTATAAATTTAAAAAAAATACGACACGGGCAGGCTTTGAGCCACGGAGTTCCATGCTGTTGCTCTAACCAATTGAGCTACCGTGTCTCACATTATTATTACTAAAGTTTTAAGAGGTAAATGAGTTACTTAATACACCGCGTTTTAAACCGTTAAAAGGATTTCATTTATCCTTGTGAAACGTGGTTAAATCGTATGTGTAATTAATAACGCATAAAGGAAAATACAACATGCATGAGTTAGCATGCACAAAAAGGATATCTGTATGCGCACTGAACGTCCCTTAATCTGTTCAGTATATTTGACGAAGCGTAAATTCGCTTTGCATTTACCCAACGTTACATGTTTAGGTCGAGTCTACATTGGGTTTCGATTACTAAGAGATTCGATACAGCTTACGTAAATTAAAGCTATCCTTAACCAGTAGTCATTGTAAGTTTAGTCTCCTGTAATATAACAGTTAAGTAGATTATTTTCAATTAATATATACACAGCGAGATTAATAAAGATTAATATTTTTAACATATTACATTAAATAAACTAGGTCTTCGGTTTTTAATATAAGTGTAGATTACTTTTTAATTATAAGTTTTATCTAAGCACATAAAATTATACCAAT